AATCCTGAATCTTACTCTGAGTGCACCTATTAGCTAACGCTGCCATTTTTCAAGAGCTTATCGGGATTAGATTCGCACTCTCACCTTACGTGTCACGATCATACCTTGGCAGCGAGCTCGCAGATGGTAACATGTGGCCATGGCTCCGCAACCTTGAACCGAAGGCGGCTCTGATCTGAATCAGTCTTGCCTTGGAAGACTGTAACTTTTAATGGCGTTCAGAGAGAGTATGTACAGAATACAATCACAAGCTAAACTTACATGCCATAATCATATCTCATCATGATCGGCTAAGATGATAGCGTGCTGCCATTCGTAGCTTACATTGTGTACTTGATAAATCTGGGCAACATAATCTAATGTCACAACTCCATATCTAATATCAGCACTGAGAGAGATCTTGTCGAGGTTGTAATATGAAGCACAGCTTGTATGTGGTAATCATGTTGCGACAATATGGTATTGCACTATAGTTACTCCACATATTTTGGCCGTTGGTAATGTTTATCCAAAATAGTCCGGGGATATAAAGCTTTACCTGATGTTAACATTCACTTAGATATTGCAGAGAAGGAAAACCCTGTCAGAGGTTACATGGCTTGACCGGGATATGACACGATTATAGTGTACTATCACTGATACTCAAATAGGTGACCATGGAGGCACTCAGCAACTCAATATTCCATTATCGTGGCTGATGGATGTTGTAATATGTGCCATCTTGGCAGTGAGCTGGTAATGTGACTATCACCATTGTAAATTTGGCAGGTTTCATCCCCACTTAGTCTGGGTATTCAAAGCTTTGTCATGACAAGTACAATTATGATACATATTATGCAAAAGCTAGTTCAGATAAAGCTTTATATGACATTATCATTTTCAGGTCAATCACCTGATGTAGTAGGTTGCGGTACAGCCACGTGGCGAGCCGTATTGGTTGAGAACAAGCCAAAGAAGAAGGAAGTTTTTGTTATCTTGAAAACCCTGTGGAGGTCACAAACTCGGCAAAGCAAATCCGGCTTTTATGGCCATATCAAGTCACCTATGCCAGGTCGCTGAACTCAGTCTTGGGGATGATGTCTGTATTCCTGTAGCAAGGGGGACACACACTTGTGTCATGGTCGGCACCCTCCGTTCTCTCATACAACAATGGCGCTGGCGTTCCCCATGACCTCGTCCTTCATTGTCTCGTGCTGAAAACTGTGGGACAGCCCTTTGTGGGATGCAGGCACAGCTAAAGATTTCATTTTGGGCTCTCTCGCCGCACTCAAAGCTCGGCATCATTCCGTTAGTGCGCTGATCACCTTCCTGAATTATTATATTTTCAGGACTTGTGGAGCAAGGCATTCTTAATCAAGACATGAGTCCAGGCAATATTTTTCTCAGTGGTCCAGATGATGCTGAAGGTTGGGAGGGGTTTGTCACAGGTCTCAAACTTGCTTCAGTAGTACAGCCAGTGAGACTAAAACTGTATTCTCATTGCATCCGCTCTCCCCCCCCTCCGTGGAGATTACAGTACGGTTACTATGGAACTTGCCTGTTCCTAATCATTATCTTTAGGGTACTGCTTTGTTCATGGCCGAAGAACTTCTATCCACGATGCTTCTCCTGGACAAGTCCAAGAAGGAAATTCGACCGGCACACATTAAATGCGAGGTACACCATGACCTGGAGTCTTTCATTCTTGTTCTTTTCTATTTGGTCACATGAGACGTGGTCTGGAGCGCTGACTCTGGGACAAGGATCCAGGCAATGAATCTCAGATCCAACAACTTTACCGTACTTTGTTCAGTGGCCATACTATTCGGCTCATCCGATGTCCTGCATGATTTGGGAATCATGCATGGACATGACTACTAGGTATCCCCCTAAAAGACAAAGTCTGTTAGCTTAGTCCTCAGACTAGTCAACCCATACCTTGGTATCAAACCTTGGTCCAATAGTTTCAGTTTCCCTCAGTGATTCATGAATCCACCATGTTTTGAAGAAAAGTCATATGTGAGATGGGAATCACATAATGACCTAGTTGATATGAGAAGCAAAATGAAGATTAAGGTATTGCCTTTCCTTTGGCTTATTCACTTTGGCTAGAGAAACCCATAGAGAAAAGTTCAAAGCCTAACAAAAACCTATCTAAAAAGCCCGCGTATTGTGTACTATTATTTGTTCCATTATTTCTGAGTTGTTTTCTCTAGTGTTCTTTACTTTACTTTTCTATTAGGATGCTCTGACTAATCAGATGCTTCATAAAATTGTACCTACAGGGTATGATGTCATAATGATGTCATAGGACTTCACCCACACTCCTGCAGGTATTTTGTTGAAAGATATGATATCATAGTGATGTCATAATGATGTCATGTTCCATGGAATTTGCTAGAACATTCCAATGACTCATAATGACTCATAAATGACTCAGAGTGACTCAGAATGATGTCATTATCCCACCATGAATATTCTGGAATGTTCTTTTGCAGCTGCTAGAACATTCTGCTCCAGTTTGTGGGATATTCTTCTCACATTCTCAAGTCATTACATCACCTTTTTGACTTACATAATATTCCCACACAAAATGTATATAAGGAGAGCCCATTCTCCCCCAAAAAAATAGATCTCCCACTTGTTGCATTCAAGAATCTCCCCCTTGAGCAAATTGAACTCTCACCTAAGAAGCTTCAGTCTGAACAATTGCTGCTTACAAAGCCCATTTCCTTTGTAAGAACTGTCCAGACAAGTGCAGGGAAAGTGTTTCCCTTGAGATTACGTAAGTTTCTTGCGATAGAAACCCAGTTTTGTGAGACAGTGTTCTCACCATGTAGTGTTTACTGACCAACATGAGCTTTGGTCACTGTTGTTATTTGTGAGACCAGTGTTCTCACCAGGTATTTGTATACTGACCAACACGAGCTTTGGTCATTGTTGTTATTTATCATTGTTTTTCTATTTGTCATTTGTTGTTATTTGTGAGAGCAGCGTTCTCACCAGGTATTTGTATATTGACCAACATGAGCTTTGGCCACGTAGTCACATTTGAGACCAGCTTCTCAACAGTTTAACCGTATATTCAGGAAACCAGTTCAAGTGTCTAGACGGTATATCCTAGACAATCCCATAGTTTCAATCACAGATAATAAAGCTCCGGCTAAGTTAATCTAACTGATTGGTTTAGCGAGCCTCCCAAGAACTCACACATTATCTACCACAAAGAAGAAAAGTTGTAGACCGTGTTAATCGAGGACTGGCAAGAAGTCTTATCCAGTGTAATTGTGGTGTCATTACATTCTTACAACGTTTTCATATAAGACCCTTGGTTATTAAGACACCGACAAGGACGATCCTGCTTTCTTGATGAAAGCGACCCCCCTGTGTATCTTTTGGATGTCCTGGACCCACCAATGGAACAACTACTTTATGGTTGTTGGAAACTTTTGAAAATCCAGCGGTCCTGCAACTTTCCTACAAAATGAACATAGAGTGAAAATTGATCAGAAGATGCAATGGAAGAGTGGCACGGAGGAACTGAAGGTCATCACTTATGCGCAGTTGTACAGTATCTATGACATAGCGGTCTGCGAGCCTTCAGAAATTAACTAGGATAATCAATGATGATGTTTGTCGTCAAAGAATAGAGGCCTGGTATGTCCATGTGTTAGTATGGCGCAACTTTGCAAATCTGGATGTGTGAACTTCAGAAGCGGATTTCTTCATTGATGTTTGTGTTTGCCACACAAAATTATTTATTACAGGGGCCTCTGCAAGATTCATCTTGCAAAGGCGGGAGTGAGGACCACTGGAACAAGATCATCATGATGAATGCAGGGGCAATGTTCGATATACTCACTTTCAAATGATAACTCTTCCCCCACCGACAAATAAAGGTTGCCTCAGCCGCCCCCAATGTTTCCGAAGTGAATAGTACTAGAAGCAGTTGTAATTAGGTTAACAGAGTGACAGCCCAACTCTACTTCCGATGGTGGCCCATTCTACCTCTCCTATGAATGACAGGATGAGTGTTCATGTTCCAAAGACGTATAATCGAGGCTTATTTGGAAGGATATTGACATGAATATTTGTATTCAATGACTCTGGCGAGTAATGGATCGTATGGTGATATTGAATACTGCCCCCTGCCTTAGTGCATTAAGAATCCGAGACACAATGATGGGGCTGACCATGATTCCACCCAATTTCGAACACATAAAACAAAGTACTCACCCCCCGCAGCAGGACAAGACCCTGGCAGATCATGGCATGCTCAAAGAGTGTCAGCATGCAAAGATATTCCAAGGGAAAGGATGGCAGTGTTGAGGCGGACGTAGAGTAAGTACCTCGTAGCAGAATGGACAGCCATGTATTGGGCTCAAACCTTCAAATGACAGGACCGTAGGATGGTAGATGGTAAGCTCTCTCAGGTACAGAACCAACTTATATAGAATTCACTGGAGTGTGCACATACTGCTCTAGTCCTCTAACCTGGCCTGGTCTAAACAGCGGGACATTGCGCACGAGGTAGTATGAGCCTTGAGGAAGTTTGGCGTCAGAGTCCAGAATCCGAGCACTGAATTGGAATAAGTCATAATATCGGTACTGCATGCAAGCTCCTGCAGAAGGACTGCATACGACAACCAACCAAGGATTTCTAGAATATGAAGTGCAGCACGGAGGCAAGTTGGGAGTGTTACCCAATTTGAAATTACATACCGGTCACGTTTGATGGGCACAACTAGTAGTGCCACAGTTTGGCTACGGCCCGCTTGGGCATGGCATCTACGGACAAACCCGAAGTTCGGCGATAATAGCGAACTAAGCCACTGATTTGCCATATAGACTGGTTCATTATGTTAGTCAGCTGCAAGAACCAGCTAAAGCCAAACTACGGCTTGAACTGGCCAAGGCCAGTTCAAGCCAGCTGAAACACTTGCAAGCGTGGAATCAATTTGCTCCTCTGACTTCCTCCTTGCCTCTTGCATTGTTTGGATCTACTCTACATTATTTGTACCATGAATAAGGTGCCTACTCGAGTCGACGGCAGATTTAGGTTGGGAAATGTTCTCGGGTCTGGCTCATATGGTACGTGACTATGTCATTTACATGGTGACTATATTGACATTCAACATCTTAGCTGTTGTGTACCATGCACAAAACTTCATCAAGGATGACTTGGTAGTTGTCAAACTTGAACCCATCAGCAACCACTCATCCTCTGTGTGGCATGAATACAACATTCTGAAATGACTCGCAGGTGGCATCGGGATTCCAGGTGTCTTTTGGTTCGGGAGAGAATCAATGTTACCATGCATTGGTCCTTGACCTCCTTGGGCCGTTGTTACATGACATCTTCATTGTGCATGATCAAAGGTTCAGTCTTCATAATGTTGTGAATCTAGGAATCCAGCTGGTCAGCCGCTTTGTGTTTTAGGTCATTGCAGAGAGCTAACTCCATTTTTCCAGCTCTCCCATCTTGAATATATCCATTCACACGATTTTGTCCATGGTGACATCAAACCCCAGAATATCTTAGTGGGTCTCGACAATTTGAAGCACACGGCCTTTATAATCGACTTTGGTATTGCGAAGGAGTACTGTAATACTTCGACCAGAGCCCATATACCATTTCGCCAAGGTCAATGTATCACTGGCACACCTGCATTCGCCTCAATCAACAGTCACTTAGGAGTCGTGCTGGGTTGTCGCGATGATCTTGAGTTGCTCATGTATACACTGATATGTTTCTTACGTGGCTCCCTCCTGTGGTTAACCAGTGAGCATGAGAAGCTCTCCAATTCCTCCATGCTTGAGCGCAAAGTAAACACGACTGTTGAAGTTTTATGTCACGGAATTCCCATCGAGTTCGCAAGTCTTCTCATTTACACATGCTCACTTGCATTCTCAGAGGATCCTGATTATGAATATCTTCGTTCGTTGCTTCATGCTATTTCTGATACATTGCCAATGCCAGCTATATGCCTTTTGGATTTTGGCCAGCCCAATCCTATCATTCATACCCCTGCATTCACCAACAAGCAAGTAATGCCAGTGGACAAGACAGTGCAACAACATCCAATGAAGGCAAACCCTCCTCGCAGATTAACTCGTATGTGAGCATATCCTTTTCATCTTCCAATTTGTAAACTGACGCTCCTGTTTTTCCTGAAGTTTATGCCCATGTAATAGCCCTGGGCCACTACCCACAACCACTTTCACTCCATGCCGCAACAAGCAACGTGTTGTTAGATTTAGATGAATCATGACACTATTGAACACTTCCTACCAGTACATACGTGTTTGTGATATATTATTGGTCTAGAACTAGCTGTACGAGTAGCTATTACTAGTAGCAAAATTGTCATTCTTGAATCAGACTGCACACTGTCAAGTCTCGACTCCCATGGTGTGCCGTCTTATGTCAGTATCTCAGGCTTCAGCACTCCCTTCAACTTGAACATATTGTACTACTGCAGATGCTTTCAATCCTTGCACCAAATATTCAGTTCCATGGCCTATGGGCCATAGTGAACAAGGTAATATGAATGTTAACGAGTCATCAAGTTTTTATTGACACATTTTGAAAGGTCTCTGGTCTTCAGATACGAGATCGCCCATCAGTGCCATCACATCTACAAGTCTATGACACCCAAAGCCACTGGGGACTATCCACTAAATGTGGCACTGCCCGTCTGACTTTATCGTATGCTGCATGGTAGGATATTCCATGAAACGTGTTGTTGGTCTTTCGCTAAGCGAACCTTATTGGGTTGTGTCATCGTGATACTCAATCACCAATTAGAACACATTTTCAAAGGTTAGCTTTAATGTATTGATATCTTGCAGTGTCTCCCTGATGCAGGTTTATATAAACAGGCAATTCTGTTGTTATTCACTACTCTTACTACCAACATGCCACCTCGAAAGTGTGCACCCAAGACAACCATCACACCTGCTCTCGCTGTTCCCGTCCCTGCTCTCGCTGTTCCCATCCCTGCTCTCGCTGTTCCCATCCCTGCTCTCGCTGTTCCCATCCCTGCTCCAGCTGTTCCCATCCCTGCTGGTGTTATTCCCATCCCCACTGTTATTCCTACCCCCATTACTGTTGTCGCCATCCGCACTGTTGTCACAGTGAATGCCCTCACAAATCCTCATCGAAAACACCAGCTTCCTCATAGATATTGAGACGACAGCCCAGCTCATGCTGACATGCCAAGTCATTCTCAACCTACAGTAGATGAAGGGGAATATTTTGACCTTGACGACATCCCTAGCAACGATGAAGAGGAAGAGTTCGACCCACCTGCACCTACCATTAGGGCGCCTGCAGGCCCTAGCCTGCTTCAGACAGCGCATAATGTCCATTCCACGCAAACTACCCTCCTGGACACCGGTAGTCTAATGAAAAAGGCCAAAGGCGTGGATGATTTCCATTTATTTTTAAAACTGAATGAAGTTACTGGGTGCAATACCTGCATCCCTTGCGAGTGAGCATCATGTCCGCAATTATTGTGTTCTTTCTAACACAATTCACTAGGAAATTGCATGAACTTGACCCGACGTACAAAGTTACAACATACAAGACTACAACAAGCAATACAGGCCCTCGTCACCACGTATACAATCACCATACCCTCATTTACTTGGAGGAGGCAGGGCGCCAGGGCTGGCCCATTCAGATGAAGTCTTTAAATGCTCTTCTTGATGAAGGATGGACGGTCACAGCAATACGTGAAAGGCTTAGAGATCCAACCCGCTGTAGAGACTCGATCCTGGGTAGCCTCACAATGGCACATATTGCAACATAGGTCGAGTCTACAGTATCATGCATGTAACACGACACTTGCGCGATAAACGCGACGTTCGCGCGACGCGCGCGACTTAGGCGACACTTCCGCGACATAGGCAACACTTGCGCGACTTGCGCGCGCTTTAGGCGAATTTTCCCGCGCCTAAGCGCTATAGGGCGCCTGACTTCCCACTGTGTTTTCCCATGTCCAACCAAGTTCCCAGGTATGCATTTCTCCATTTATCATTTATTTCAACATCGTACCATGTTTATTTTCACTTGGTACACATTTCTCATGACACATTTTTTTACTTAACACAACACACATTACCATGGACCACCACCATCATAGACAGTCACCATCTCCGAGTTTTTATTATGTTTTGAATAAATCATCGCAAGCCCTAGTAGCAGTTAGCTCTAGTGGCCATATCCGCATCAGTTGTCTTATCAGCATCTCAGTACACGTCTTAACATCTCACTATCGCTCGCATACCGCTTTCACCCAGTTCCGCTTTTCGACGCGCGACTTTCCCGCGCTTCGCGCGCCTATAGCGCCTTTGTTCCCGCGCTTTCGCCTTATCACGCGCTTTGCGCATTCCCCCTAGAGTTGACCAGTGGATATTTGCTTTCTCCGCTTCCCCTAAGGGACAAACATATCGCACTCATATTTTCCTCCCTTCAACAATTATATCAGCTGCACCCTCAGCTGAGTTGAAGATCCTTCACCGCACAATTGATTTGCTTGGGGATGTCCCCGATAACAATGTGCTACTCAGACGTGGACAGCCAGGAACTCCTGAGGATGAAATTCCTAACTTTACCCTTGACGAGATGCATTGACAACTCGTGAGGTTTGTTGTTGCTGACGACCAGGTGAGTTACTGTTCATTTTCTATGCGCTATTAATAATAATACCTTCAGGCAATCAACATCATTGAGTGTCCTGAGTTCCATTGGTTGATTCGTCTTCTACGGCCAGAATTGAATAAGAACAATATCTACCATTACACAAAATTTCGTAAGTTAATCCTTGACTCTTGAGGCCTTTGATGAGTACTTCGAGGTCTTGAAAAGGGACCTTGCAGTAAGTACAGTTGTCTAAAGTCTTGAAAAGTATCTTATATCTCTCAGATGGCACAATGAAAGATTTCATTTACATCTGACCTGTGGTCAGACTCCAACCTCTGCCCTTTCATGGCAATAACAGCTCACTGGATCGCCAAAGAAGTGAAAACTTCCATGCTCGTCTTGAGGGCAGTGCTGATCGCTTTCAGTCACGCACCAGGGAGTCATGCAGAAGACTGCCTAGGCCAATTGATATTGGGCCTCCTCAATCGCGCTGAAGTGACAGAGAAGGTCCGTGTTTATCTTTACTGTTGACATGATCTGACTCCATTTAGTCTGGACATTTTACCCTGGACAACACTGGTAACAATCACACTTCCATGCAAGAGTACTCATGTCTACTGGAGGAACGCAGGCTAGAATTTGATCCTGTCAAGCAACGGATCCCATGCTTCCCCCATATTATCAACATATGCGTGAAACATATTGTTGACGAGTACTCGATTGCTGACTTTTCAGATGTGTCAGAGACATGGGTAGTTGGTGGGGAGACCATCAACAAGGCGGCATATGTCCAAGCCCTAGCAGGCAAAGCCCTTGATTGAGCTAGAGCGCTTGTGCGCACAGTCCATGCATCGATCCAGCGCCGTGACAGTTTCACGCTCACCATTACCACAGGTAACAAGAATGAATGGTTCCTAGACCATACAGGTTCTCCCACCCAGCTGCCTGTTGTTCAACTTCTCTATGATGAGCCGACACATTGGGACTCTGTCTACATCATGCTGAACCATCTACGAACCCTTCGCCAGGTAAGCCTCTGCCCCGCTAACATCTATCATGGACTAACAGTAGCCTAGGCTGTAGATATGTTCTTTCAAAACCCGAATCAACACCTGATTGCTGACAAGAAGTTGATGCCGATGGAATGGCACTTTCTGCAGGATCTCGAAGTAATTTTAGAGGTCAGTGCTAATGTATTTTAAATCTACAATCTGTCTCATTATTTGATATTAGGTACCGCACGCTGCTCAACAAGCAATGTCAAGTGAAAGCACTCCAACACTGAGTGGCGCGGTTCCAACCTTTGAAAGATTGATCGAGGGATGGAATCATATAGCGAGCCACTTCCCACACTTTGCACCACTGATTAACATGGGCTTGCTGTGGGCAGAAAAATATAATGATCGGATGGGCACCACCAACGCTTATGCAGTCTCTATGTGTCAGTTCTGTGTATTTTAATGGAAGTCTGATTCTCATTGTTACTTTTAGTTATCAATCCTGCTTCACGGATGTCGTGGATGGAACACCATTGGAGTCAACAGCGAACTAATGACGCCAAGAAATTTATCATTAAACTCATATGTATTTATTTTGCCGATAACAGCACAACATTGAATGTATCGTCCAGATGCATGCCAAGAGAGGGTCCCTGGCCTCTGGTTCTGTGCCCACTGTATGCACAGTACAAAAGCCAAGCACACTAGGTTCACACCTCTATGGCCTTCCTGACATAGACATGCCGTCAGATCACAATGAAGGTGCCCAAATGGTCCTTCAGGAGTTCAACGCCTACAGCACAGCTACTCACAGCCCCAAAGGCACAAACATTCTCTTGTTTTGGACAGCAAGAGCCTTGTATCTCCTCAAGCTATATTGTTTATCATTGACCATGAAATGTTGATCAGGCCTCTCAGGGCATGTTTCCAACAGTCTATGCAATTGCCTTGGACTATCTGCCAATACAGGCATCTGCTGTCCCCTGTGAGCAGGTGTTCTCGTCAAGTAGCGAGACTGACACACAAAAGCGGAACTGTCTCAGCCCCGTGCTGATGGAGGCACTACAGATCATCAAGTTCATGCTGAAAAAAGATAGACTCAATTTCACCAAAGGCTGGGTGGCATCACAGTGAGACATGGAATACGAGGTGCTATGTGATGTAGAGCCGGGTGAGATTTTCGCATCTAACATTAGCAAAGCTTCATGTGGCAGTCTGACACATGAAGTGCTCCTCAAAGCTATTGCGGACCAAGAGTGCGATGATATTGAGGATGCTGCCGTCATCTATGCATCGCTATAACTACTTTTCTTGCTCATCATTTGTTTTGTTTACCTACTGGACCTTACATCCCTCTAGCATTATGTTCATTGCTGACTTGATGTCAATCATTAGCTCATTTCTTGCTTGCAACTTGTTCTCCACCAGCCCTTTCCTCAGCTTAGTCAGTATGTAGTTCAATTCAGTCCAAGTCTTTGTAGTTCGCCCACTCGCAGACATGATTGAAGCAGCTCCCAATCACTCCTCTCGCACCCGCATTTCGTATGTTGTCCATTTCTTCGATATTTCTAACCTTTGCAAATTTACACTATCATAAGCTGGCTTGAGCCGGCTTACAGCGCTTATTTCAGTTATATTAGCCGGACCGAGTCGCAATCATGTAAGCAAATTGGTCTTTGCAGGTCCGGTTAAGCCGGTGAATTAAAACTGGCTACTGCCGGCATTAGCCGAGACCACGGCAACACTAGGCACAGCCTCCCATGCAGGCTCGTTTGTTCCTCGTTGCAATTGGAAATACTGTTATCCGAATACTGCTCCTAGACCTCATCGTTCACCACAGCGCGCTGCAACGCTTCCTCATCGTTGAGCACGACCTAATTGATCATACGTTGTCGTGTATTTAACCAATGACGATCCACCGTCCTCCGGACTCTCGTCTCCTTTCCAATCTCATAGCACACGAAAAGGAGTATACGAAACATCTATCCTCTCTTTTCCCCATATCACATGTTGCTCTCGCATCTCTTTCTGCATTCGCGGCTGCCTCACCTTCGGCTATACCTAGCAGTTCTTCAGTCTCTCTAGCACAAACTATCGGCACCATCGTTGATGTACTCTCCGGCGCGGACGATGCTCTTCAGCTCTACAAACAGGCGGTTGAGAACTGGCGCGACCAACTTGGCCACTTGATAAAGCTCGAAGAAGACATAACAGCTATTCTCCGTGACAGGGAAATTCTGTCCGTCCTAACTCTTTCTCTACCAGCTCTCCGTTAACCTTCATTTCAGAATAACTCGGCTCATCAAAGTTTCTAAATCCTCCAAGACCACACGGGATCCTCGCTCATCGCTCGTTATACCATCTGGTTCTACCTCATTTACATCTCTCCCTTCTACTAATTCTACGTTACATGGCTCTTCGAACACCAAACTTCTGCAAGCTCAAGAGGAGCTACGCGCATGCGAGGATCATTTGGCTACTAAAGAGCTGGAATTGGAGGCACTTCGGGTCAGCATAGCTAGAGAAGGTCTCGGTGCTCGCTGTCAGGCTCTCATTGATTGTGGGTGGGCTTGGGGTGAAATGGGCAAGGAAGGTCTTCGGGCGTTACAGAGTCTTAATGCTTCAAGTTCTGATGGTAAAGGTATGCTATTTTACTGTTTTTTTTTCTTTCAGATCACCTATTCACAAACGTGCATCCAGTTCCAGAACCCCCATTGTCGTCATTTACATCGCATTCGCATTCGCCCTCTACGTCCATCACTCCCAAACAAAAGCCTTTACGTTCTCCCGCGCTGCCTTCTCATGTTACACAGGGCCCAATATCCTACTCCTCCGACATTTCCTCCCTCACGCCTTCTCAAAGTGCATCCCAACAGCACGATGGGACCTCTCGTGGAAATAGCCAAGAAGGCGCGGTTCCTGATCATCCTAGCTCCAATGGCCATGAAGAGGTGACAATCGATATTCCTCCTGCGCACGCCATCTCAGAACTTACCATGCCCACTGGTGTCCCTTCCCCGTCCCCTCTCAGAGCCCCCTTATCTGAGAGTTCGACAGACCTCCAGGCTCATCCCCTCCCACGTAGCAGCAGCACACAACGAATCCGACGTCCATTATCCAGACGCATCACCGAGGTAGACGAGAACGAGTACATGGAGAGGCCTGCTCTCGTAGCAAACTCTTCCTTCACATCCCCTAATGGTGCTCGCAGTGCGGACGATAGCAGTGAAGAGGGGGAGACTCAAGGTCCCTTGGAGGTCGTCGAGAACGATCCATTCAAGCAATCGAAGCGCCTCTCTCTCCGTCGCGAATTATCTCCAGACGCTGTTGAGCGCACACCCGAGCGTAACGGTAAACAGCGGGAGCGTAAGCCATCCATGAGTTTTTTTCGGCTCTCTGCGTGGTTTATTCAAGATCTCACACAAGGACCAAACTCGCGCGGAATGGAGTGACGCTACAGAATCCCCACATGCGAGTCCAAGCAAAAAAGGGAAGAAGGGCTGGTCTACACGAACAGATGCAAACCTGAAGGCTTCCAGATCTCGAGACAGCTCAGAGTCTGAGTCTGAGAAAATACTTAAACCCCCTCCGCCTTCAGGAGGTGCGAAGTTGCGCAAGGGCCGGTCACAGATGACAGCTCTTGCATCATCTAGTGGATGGCAGACTGATGGACCCCCTTCTGCAAGTCCACGCACAAGCGCCAGGCGGAAAAAGAAGAAGTCAGTTGCGGAGCTCAAGGGCAAAGACGGTGGGTATACAGATGGCGAGCTTGATGCAAACGATTCAGCTCCTTCGGGCCTCCCATCTCGGAGCCAGTCGGAGGTTGCTACCCGACGTCCGTCTGTAAAGCGGCAGACAACCCCAACCTCCAGCCCCCAGGCTCAACCACTCGATCTTTCACGTGCCTCCTCACTCTCAATGCGAAATAGCGTCAGGTCGGCTCCAAATCAGGTAGCAGTCAAGTCGCAACATCGCAGAGCAACTACAGACCTCTCCGGGAATATTGATAACGCCAATGGGGAAGCACCTCGTGAAGGTTATCCGCGACGGTCAGCCTCCCTCACATATGGTGCTGCACCTCAACACCTAGGGGATTCTTCTGGATCTGCAAGATCGAAACCCAAGCGTACACCCAAAGCCGGGACAGTTCATCCTCTCCCAGCGAAAGGCAACACCAGTGTGAGTCTTATGAGCATCGTTGAGGATGTCGCACGACAGAATCGCAACGGCCGGGGTACTACAGGTGCGGGCTCATCGAGTCCAAGCACAACGAAACTTGAAGTTCCGCGTGCCCCTACACCAGGTGTGCCTACCAACGCGCCGTGGTTCTCCAAACTCTCAGATGATCGACTTCCTGTCCGCTCAGGATCATTGGACATTCCCCGCGCACCGGGGTCGGTTATTTCTGCATCTCAATCCTCCGCGGTCGTTCCAGGCGCACAAGGACCGGCGAGACCCAAACACGAAACCCCACCTCGTCGCCCATCTACAGGAAAAGGGAGTGGTCCAGCTGCAGCTTCTGGAAGCCAATCCAGAAAGACCTCCCGACCAGCTGTGTCGCCTCTTCGTTCAGCTCTTCGAAATTCCAGTCGTACGCCATCACCTATCCCAGCTCAATTATCAGAGATACGAAAGCGAGGAGCTGATGTGCGCCCTGAGGAGGGATGATAACCCTCGTGGACGGACAGAGCGGGAGGAACCCGAGGGGCGCACTCCAAGACCAGCTCGGCCTAGGCAGGCCAGTGAACTGAATGATATTTCGATAAGAGATTCAGTTTCGATGACATCAATATCATCGTACAGAACGGCGGAGGAAAGTCCAATCGAGGGGGGGTCAACTCCCCCGGCTCCGCAACATGATACTGAGTCATCCACAATCTCCATTGAAACACTGACAAGACGGAAGAGTGTTCGGGTATCTCTTCAGCCGACATACTCCCCTACTCCGCCTGCTCTGGATGATGATGAAGCTCATGGCCGTTACCCCTGGAACTCAACGAAGAAGGATTGTAACCATCACGATGAATCCAGCGAACCTGTCATATGGCAAGACTCGAGCGACGAAGATGAGGAGTACAGTCGCGCCCGGAAACTGCTTAGTAAAGCCGGTAAGAGAGATAAAGGGAAGAAAACAGCCTGTAGCCGAATTTGAAGGTTCAAACACGGGCACTCGTTTGGCCCTTGATCGATATTTGTTCTTTATTATCCTCAGCGATTCATTCACGGTCCTTGGTTGATTGTTACATACTTCACATATAATTTTTCTATTGGTTTGGTTTTACAGTTGAGCCTTTACTCTACATATTCTGAATACATAGACTGGATCATCGTTTTCACAGGTGCTGATTAGGTAAAGAAGCTGTACAAACACCGACAATCTCTGCTCGCCGTCCCGTCCACACAAATCTCTCCTTGTCTTCGTCACTTCCTCACTGAGTTTATCTCACCCACGTTATCCGCGTTTCCCAATCTTTATTCACGTTATTTGTACAATCTTTACTCGCTACCATGGCTGAAGAGCAGCAGCAAATTTCTCAAGGGCAGGATGACTTTAAGCAAGAGGACAACGCGCCAATTAATGTCAAGGTACGAAAATCGATGGCATCGCATCGATTGACGCGACTTCCCATCTCACAACGGATCGCAAATCTGATCTTCTCCCCTAGGTTGTAAGCTCAACTGGGGACGAGGTTTTCTTCAAAATCAAGCGCAACACCAAGTTGAGCAAGCTTCAAGGCGCTTATGCTACCAAAGTCGGCAAGGATGTGGGCAGCATTCGGTAAGTAAAATTTTCCAATTTGTCTTTTTAGAAGTTGGGCAGGTCGATTGTTCTTGGTGGCATAAACTATGCTGGTTCCCTATGTGCTAAACGACCCTTAATCAGATTTTTGTATGACGGATCGAGAATCAACGACGATGATACGCCTGCAAGCCTCGACATGGAGGACAACGGTGAGTGTTTTTACTGTCTTATATTTGTCTGTTTCTGAAATTACTCCTATCTAGATACGATCGATGTGATGGTAGAACGTGCGCACCCTTCCAGTTTCTTCATTGCTTTCCTAATTTTTGATCTCATGATCCTCTTTTTGGATATGCAGAGGTTGGCGGTTCATATCCTGCATATTTGTACAGTCGTCGCCCATAATTGTAACACTACTGCTTATTCGCTTTCCTTGTCAATCTCACGAGCATTCATATGCATCGACCGATACCTTTTGGATGAAGCATCGCTTAGCGCTTGGCTCTGTCGAGTAATGCGTCCATCTCTCTCAATCAAATTCTCTCGTCGCCCTCTCAGCACCCTGCTGTTGAGTGCTGTAATGTATGTCTGCAGACGCTGCAGAATATTTTCGATACTATACTCCTGAAACACTGATTATGCTTATCTGCCTGATGGCGTGCTTGTTGATTCCGTTCACCACGGGCAGCTCTCGGCACGGATCACAAATGTGCATGTCGGCATGCTATCGAAATAAGGTATGTGCACCTTGATCTGCTTACCTTGTGTGTCACTCGGGAAGTTTACACGACAGTCCTCAAAAACAGTTACATAATGGACTATAACGTGCTCCGCATCATAATTGAGTAGATTGTCACTTTTAGGGAGTGTCAGTGTGGACTACACATGTAGTACTATCAGGACGCTAGCTTAGAAAACCAGCATACATTGTTATCCAGTATGCTCGTCATTAAGCGCCGTATACTATATACCCTGCCCAAAGTTGAACGGTTATTACAGGCTTTTAGATGTAAAGTCCGAATCCATGAGGATAACATTGAGCTAGATAGAACAGGAGTAGCAACGGTAGTAGAATTAAACGGTCTCGCGCGGGAATAAGGGTGAAATGTAACTCCAATGTTGAATTATAAAATGAAGAATTGTCAAGTTGCGGGTCATGATGTGGAGAATTGTGAATAGATGATGTCAGATAAGTAACATGCAAAAAAACTGAGAAAACAAGGAATGCTCATGCAGGTCTCCATTCAGTGCCTGGTCTGTCAACCATGTGCGACACTTCTTGCCAGTTTGCTGGGGGTTCACTATACACTGAAGTGCTTTCTAATGTAGCAGGCGCTGTTATGAACGATTGAGCCGCGGTACTGATGTCGGGTCGGCTATCATCGATTTGGCCCCCATACGGCCGCCTAGGGATATCTAATTGCTCGACCTCTCGCTCGCGGGAGGTAGGACGAGCAGTGAGATGAGAGGTAGTGGCCTCCGAAGGTGCAGAAATAGAGGGAGTGTAGATGGAGGGGCTCGAGGGAGCCTCTCTCAGACGGGACCCGGAGCTTTGCCCCACAGGTGGCTTCACTCCGAAAGTATAATTCTCATTGCTGCTGTGAACTCCCTCTGACCCGCTACGTGAGCGAGAGTCAGATGAGAACGCCATGTCCTCCTCAAGACGAGCCATAGACGAATTTGCACGAGAGCGTATTGACTGGACAAGATCCAACGACGATCGTGAGGCGGCTCCGATACCTTGTATGAGCGACTGCGTCCGCGAACGAACGGCTGAACCTGCACGGGAACTCGACGAGCCCGATCGAGAGCCAGATCGAGAACGTCCAGATTGTGAATGTCCAGAATCTGAGCGATGACCACGACGGCGACGGCTGCTGACCATCGAAGATTTCGGGCTGCGAGGACCAACTCCGAGCAGACCAACACTATCCTCGCCTTCCGCAGCTTCATGGGGACCTTCAGGCACAGGCTGCTCCATCATTTGAGGCTCGTCATCCAGGTCTTCTGCCTCTTCCTCCTCATCCTCCTCTGCTTCATCATCATCGTCAACCTCTTCACTAAGGAAGGATTCGTAACCTCCCCCACCAAAAGTCTCTGTATGGTCGCTGTCGACACGACTTCTGATAGGAGTAGTGTACACGATCGGAGTCGGAGAGGGGGATGATAACACTGGAACAGTTCCTGCACGAGCACGACCACGACCTGGTTGGGGATGACGAGGGGGCATAGGTATCGGGCTACCATATCCGGAACTAGGACTGGACAAGCCCGAGCTCACGCCATGCGAATTGGGAGACTCAGATGAGGTATCACAATTGCCGGTGGATTGTGTGGAATTTGATGTTCGCGACTCCGTTGAGCGAGTATTCGTCGATGGATGTGTCTTAGGAGTCGAGTGTGTACCAGCCGCTGAAGAAACTGAACCTCCACGGGTAGGACGACGAAGTTGGAATGGGTAACGAGATGATACCGGCTGTCCAAGACTGGACATCGAACCGGAGGTACGTGGCGGAGCTTCGCTGTTATCTTCGACCTCGATCTCGATCTCGGCCGCGGCTTCGGCCTCCTCTTCTGACTCCTCTTCATCATCATCATCATCATCATCATCTTGTGCTGGACGCTCTGAGCCGCTGGTGGGTGGTGATCTACGTTTTTCCTTCCTGGAACTAGGGGAAGGTGGGAAGGGAATTTGATCTTTAGATGACACTTGGGCACCATACCCAGCGAACGGATATGGGAGCTTGAGCAGGGGCGCCGAAGGACCGGTCATCTCCTTGTCCTTCGATGATCTCTTTACGACTTTGGGGATGATCTCGGACAGTTCCGGTGGAGGCGCTGGCGCCTCACCAGACTCCTCTCTTGGAAAGGCAAAAAGATCTTCTGAAAGCGCACCGCGCCTTGCTAGTGGTGGCATGGAAGGTAAACCAACAGCCGCAAGCACTTGCTCGACTTCAAACGGTGGGGAGGTTTCCAAGCCTAGTGGTCCTGGCTCATCCTTCTTTTCGGTACCAGACCACCGTGCAGGAGGCTTCACCGTCAAGCAAAAATCATAGGCTTCTTGAATACGTAGACGCGTACAAATTCTCCAGGTCCACGGGAGAGCATCCGCTTCAGAGGCACCATCGCTGTTGTAGTTGGACACAGACTTTTCGTGATCTTCTTCTTCCCATCTGAAACGCGGCCCACAGAGTCCGGCACAGCCATGGCCGCTAAGAATCCATAGACCAATCCTGTTCGCATAAAAAAAATCAGAAGAAACAACAATATATTAGCCTGTGATCGCTCACCAGCTGATGAGTAGCACAAGGACACGCCACGCCGTCCAAGCGGCATTGGCAATGAGGACGCCACGGGCGTAAGCCGTTAGTGTGCCATCAGACACACTAAAGTAAGTTTCATCGCGACGATTGAAGCCAGCCTCGAGCATAGCAACATAATCGGGAGAAGCGGATGTAAATGTGAGCAACAAAGCTAGGGAGAGTCCTGCTCGAGGTAGTAGAAGCGCAACAGTGGGCAGGTTCTGCGAGTAGAACCAGAACGTTTCGGCAATGCCATCTCGAAGGCTACCATTTTCGCCAAAGAAAGCCGAGAAGCGGATGTACTGCATGAAGCAGAAGTTTGTGTAGGACGTCATGGAAGTGAGGTTGAACGCAGCCGAAGAAAGATATAATGGCGTGATGAGTGGTCGCTCTATATCGTTTTCAGTGTCGAATATGATTTGTTGAGAAATAGTACTCACTAACACGCCATCGGCGCCAGAAGGAGTAGACAAGTTCATATAGAACAAAAACCGTAGTGATCCAAGCCAGCCAACAAGCAATGTAGGCTGCAGCGCCGAGTGCCCAATTCTTGCCCGAACCCGGCACGCCTGGTGCAGAAGGATTAGGAAACTTGGCGATCCTGCGGAATGATAAAATTAGACTATGCCTATTAATCCTTAAATGAGATAAAAACTTACTGCAAGATTATAAATACAGCGTTGAAGTCGAAGAATGTTTGTACAGGAATGTGGTAGAAAGTCATGAAAGGAAGCAAGTAAAAGTAAAGACGAGTTAAGGCAGAAGGGTTCCGAAGCAGTTCCGGGTGAAGACCAGTTGACCGAAACTTGGGTGTTTGAGAGTGCTCCTGTGTTTTTTTGACTGTTGGTAACACCACGGTTCCGCTCAAGCCAGTAGTCGTAGCACGTGACCAGACTCGAGGACGTAGAGAGTTGCTCTGTGGAGTCTGGTCTGTGACATCCCGGCGATTATACGGATTAGGGCTAGCCTGCGCATTGTCCTGGAGGCTCACAACACGTATGGAACGTGGTGTAGCCTTTCGACCACCCGAGAACGTCTCGGGTGGGGGAGGCTCGAACATTCCAACAGAGGAGTGGAAAGTTGATGCTGGTGCAGGCGGCGGAGGCCTCCTTGGGAGCCATGAGGGATAACCCTCTGAACCTTCTGATATTCTCGGATGAGTAGAAGAAGAGGGTCGTTCAGAGACGTAGCCTCTGTTTGGGGAATCCCCATGCGCAGATGCGCTTAGAGGAGAATCGGAAGACGTGCTGGGCTGCAGGCGTGACATATCGTTCATAAAATGAAAATATCATGCAATGGATGAAATAATAAGCGAGTTCGTGAAGACGTAGCAGAATATAAGTTGGTGTCGCGTTAGAGAATTTATTTTTTTTGTGGTTAGTTGAATAATTGAAAATGGAATGTTTTTGAAAGTATGCGAGTAAGAGATGCAGAGCGGGAGGTTAAGATAAAAGTCTCCAAGGACGATATACCAGAGAGATCTAAAGGAACAGGCAAGCCTCGTGTTCCAAGTCCACGATTAAGAGCCTCGTGTCTTTCCTTTTCGTATATAGTGAACCAAAAGGTGGGAAGAAGGCGCGCACAAAACCAACATGCGCGCTGCCCTGAAAAACTAAATCTCCTGCCCTCCCAAAAAGGAAACCGAACAAGAATGCTTCCGCTTACCAGATCCTTTACGGAATCAAATTGGACCTTAGTGACGGCCGAATCGGACAAATGAAATGAACGTTGGGGAACAAGAGGACGGGTAAAGCTTTCGCTGGAAGTGCCGGCAGCTGCCTGCGCTGCGGAAAACGAGTGACTGGGAAGAAGTTAGTGATAGTGATGGTGGTAAGAGAGAGAGTTGTGTATTCGTGTGTTTTCCAGTGTCACCCAAGTGTCACCATCGTTGCGCACTAGCTGTTGCTAGGCGGGAAACATGAAGAACAACAGAAACAATGATAACGTAGTTTATACTTCACTGCGGGTGTTTAATCTAATCAGTACAATTACTACAGTAACTTTAACACCGAAGCTGGCTTTCCCTCGAAGTGAAATGTAAGACATCGGAACCCTCTCCGTACACTTCTTCCCAGTCGAAGTCGCTCTGCTGATTCTCCTTACCAAACGCTTCCAAGAGTTTCGCAGCTTCCTCTCCGCCGCTAATTATTGCGTGACCCGAGTCACAGAACTTCCCCCTGGCCCCTTGGCCATATATACGCGATTTATTCCTGGTAAGAAATGTGCCGATATGACGGAACGTGAGACTGATGCGCTCTCCGTTCATGAATTGTTCCTCTGCGGACTTCAAATGGATCGGACGTCTGTCATGGTTAATTGCGTGCAACCATTTCGCATTCGTGTCGAGACCAAGAACGAACATTGAATTATGAGGTAACGGAATTTTTTGTGATGGTCGTGGGGTAGTGCTGTTACCCGCCTGTTGCACCCCATCTCGTTTCAAGCGAAGTGTCATCACTCGTTGAGCGCCTAGGCTGACGTTAACTATCTTCGATCCACGCACGACATCGATTGTCTTGTCAGAGTGCTCTGAGATGTAGTCCGCACCACTACGGTAGTGTTGAATTAAGACATGGTTCACGGGGTGATCAAGAATGTTCTCCACATGCTCGCGGATGGTAGCTACCGTTGGGGAAAACTGCCGAAGCGCAGGTGACTCATCTGCAGGATGTCGGTAAATTGGGAAGCTGAAATTGAATAGAATCAGCTGATCGAAAATGCGGCGGTGATAGAAAGCACCTTCCATCATGTGCGATCTCCCCCTCGACCGCCACGCGCCTTGGTACCTCACCACCTGAACGCCCAACCATGTCAGGGCTTGGGCAACACAAGTTGGTGGAAGGAGGACATACCACGATGATACATCACATTCCAATCAACCTCGTCTATCATCTGCTTGAACGCTGTGTCGCATAATTCAGGGGGGAGCACGTTAAGCACGAGGCTAGAGTCCCCTTCTCCAATCTTGTCATCCACACCAAGACTTAAAGGCGGTGTCTGCTTCCTGATACCGAAAATGACTGATTTTCCTCAGTTCCTATTATGTGAACACGTACATCTCTATTGTGACCCTCGAAGTGCTGGACAAAGTGCTAGTAGCAGTTTGATTGGAGATGATATGAATGATCAATCGGGGGTTACCCGATACGCTGACCCGCAAGAGATGATCTAGTTGGTTATGTATGAGCGCACGCAGACTCTGACTTCACTTTGTACGCAGTACTCTCGAACTTCAAGTCGTGATTCAAGCAATAATTATGAAATACAAATAAAATATACAATTATATTTCATTATGTAATATTAATATTATATGCTCGTTCTAAGCGCGTCACGGTCTCAAGTATCTCTACTTGTCCACAGCCTCATTGTGGTACTTGCCAAGAACTCCAATATCCGTGTTATATTCGAGGTACTTGCAGGTTGCTGTCCTCACGGCAATAAATATTCACGAGGGATTGTGACGCTGATGAGCCACGATATGAAGCGTGCTTGCGGTACTCATATAAAACGGGGCCCCTGACTATTGATTTTGCGGAAAGGTGCGAAAGGGCGGTAAGTACCTTAGTTAGAACTTGAAGATCAGTAAACTGTAATCAGAACTGGAGGGTATAAATATATAGGTCAGCCATTTTATACACTTTAATTGTTGATGCTGATCAGCCCGCTCACTACATCGCTCATGATTCAACCTGGATTGTCTCGAGGTTTGTAGGAGTTCCGCGAAAGCATCCATCCAGAGGCTACACTTCGGCACTTGATCAGTTCATTTACATCCGAACCTCACCAGTGACCATACGAATTTGTTCGTGTTGCATCTCTCCAAGAATAACATACGCGCCTGTTGCTTCACGCGATGTATGAGTTGGCGACCCCCTTACAGACGGGATATTCATATGCTCAACAAGTAGTGAAAGGGTTGCATGGTAAAGCTTACCGATTATCACGCAACTCCGTTCGGCAATTCGATTATGATCGGCCAATGATCGACGTAGATGAATGGATATCACGTGTCTGTTTGACTATTTTCACTTTGGAAAGTAAATAGAGCGAAAGAACATTACAAGGAACACGGAGTACAGCTAAGTAGTAATGCTACAATCTCCGGAGATACCTCATCCCAAGCAAGTAAAAATATCAGTAATACAGTCACAAACATTACTTTGTGATGCGTAGTGGCAATTATTGTCAAAAAAGGTGAACGGCAGGGAGTGACGCGGTGAGAATCGCTGCGGGCTATTCATGTCAACGTAGCATAATTTAGGACAACACGCGCTGGAGCGTACGGGTAGAAGTCGGTTGAAAAGAGGAGGATGGCTTCTGCATGTCTGCAGGATTACCGGCTGGGTATTGTTGGGGTGGCCGACCATTAATTAGAACAGGTGGCTGGCTCAGCGTTGGTGCCAAAGACGCTGCGTTTTGCTGCTCCAACCGTTGCTTTTTGGTTCGCGGTGAAACGTCCCCATCCTGCACCTCTTGGTCATCAGTGGCACTACGCTTTTTCTCTACATTTCCGCCAAAATCAAAAGGCGCCCTAAACCGGGAGAAGGGTCTGGAAATCGTCGCTAGCATTTGTTCTGCAGTAATCTCTTGAAACCTCGTTCTCCACGTCTTAGCAAGCGCTTCCCGCTTGGGTTTGGGAAGGTTGTACGCGCGCCATGGGTAATGTGGTCGTTTGTCGTAGGCTTCAAGCGCTTCCCTGTCTTTGTTACTCCATCGCTCCTCTTCCTCTTCCCTCTTAAGCCACCCAATATCAAGCAAGCGACGCGTTATTTTCCCTGGAAGACATGGTCGCATCATAGTGGGGTGCGAAATTACGGTCTCGTACGTGTTCCACGCCTGCAGTGGATCAAAGAGCTCGGCAGCGCGCTGCGGAATGGGGACGGCCTCATGAGCAAAATCGCGAACTTTTATTCCCATTTTCTGGATTTCTTCTACAATTTCCTCTTGTGTGAGGTCCAGGGGAATGATTTCAGTGGGAGCAGGAGACGGAGCTGATGAGCGAGAAGGCTACACGCAGGTAATCAAAATTTGCCATTTCTACAATCGATGGCTGTGACTCACTGGTTCTTGAGGCTCCGACGGGGGTTCTCTCGACAACACCGGTGTTGGGATGTCGAGTGTGGTTTCACTTTGGGTTTGTTCACCAAACGATGCGTCCTGACTGGATTCTCCTACAGGCCGAGTACGGGGGATTGCATCCTCCGACGTAGGAGCAGCGCACTGAATCGGATCACTGGTTGGCATACTTGTTCGGTCGAAGTCGAGTTCGAAGGAGTCGTGTACTTGAGAGGACGGCACCGCAAATGCTACGAAACCAGACGAATTTAATGTCCAAAAAGTGTGGACACTTTATACATCCACAAGACTCGGTGCGATGAATTCAATTGTGTTGTTGTCGATGTCAAATTGTCAATGGCAGAATTTCTGTGGCAACTGCCAAGCGGCAATTCCCGGCAGCTTTAGAGGTCCACGGGTGAACAAATAACAAAAGATGATACTAGTGTCTATCTTTTAGAGAGGTCAAGCTCTGAAGCGACGCCTGATTGGCGATCACAATATAGCTTGGTCTGACTTTTATTTTCTTGAGCGGAAGTGGAGCAGTTTGAGCAGATTTTCGGCACCCCTAATTAATGACTACATTATGGATGCGACGCGTCGCGTCGCGTCAACGCGGGTCTGTCAACAATCCGGGAGCCCTCCGAGAAATTTCAGAGGGTGCATAGACCAATGCAAACGAGGCCTCAGAGTACTTTGTGCCAATCTACTAACCAGTACAAGTTCGGGTACTTGTCTGCTTGCTCAATGTCCGAATCGGATCTTGCCACTTGTACCGAGACGTCGATTTCGAAGAGTAGCGGGGGTGGTCAGTGGGCATGGGCGTTTTACCGTCTGGAAGCACATATACATATCGACACTAAGGACAACAACGCAAGAAACTGACAGATGCTTGACCAAATGCCTTTTCTGCTGACGCAACCAGTATAATTCAGCATTCAATTCAGAGGTTACAGCGAGCAGCTCGCCACGTAAAAACAGACAGAAACTTGCCGATCAAACTGCCAGTATAAGCAGCAACTATCAAGATACCTTGGAGATCGACGGGCATGATAGAAAACTATAGACACGGACCGCTGGATCGCTTTTAGTCTTGCACATCGCCCAACACATTCACGTTGATGATGATGGACAAGCGGTTCAATATGAGGGTGTTCCCTCAAGCCTCGAGGACGACCCAACGCCAGTCTGCCGTCCAAGAAAAGGTCAACCTTGGCGGTATATCATCAAAAGTACTGAGAGAATTACATAGGCTGTACGCCGGCACGTCCTAGGGTCCACAAGTTCGAGGTATACACGATGCGATAGTGTTTTATTCCTGAATTTTGCCTCCACTACGATACAACAGGTCACCAACATAGTCCATCAAGAATATTAAAACCAATAAGGCGGACAGTCCTTCAGCAACTTTTTGAAAATCGTATATTTTCCTCCAACGGCGAGTTGACTGGTAAGCCTTCGTAAGGATTGTTTGCGGCGAATGCAATGCACCGAGGTCCAAAAAGTCCTGTCTTGGGCGATGTAACCGCATGTAGCCACAGACATCCGCTAGCGCTCTTATGTCCTTCGTTTCCAAACATATTATCTACCGCGCATCTTCACTCGTCTCGGGGCTCGTGAACCAAATCCATACCGCGCTGGGGCCAGTCGTCTTCCATCAGGTACAGCAGCACAGAACTTCACCATGGCTTCGACGCTGGAAGAAGAATTAGAATATGGAAAGAAATGTGACGCAAGTGCGCGCTTACTTGTAGTCTCCCTTAGTCAGACTTTAGGTCCTTGAAAGAACGAAGGTGGCTGCTCTTTCTTCCTTCTCTCCAAAAATATTTGCTCGATATGACTTGACATGTGACAAGGCACGTGAGCGGTACAGAATGGCACGCGACGCATTTCAATGTCTCGTTATATTCAGGGCCGTAGCGCATTGTATTCCAAGTTCTTCTATAAAAATCTGCAGACTGCTCGTCTTAAAGTTACAAGATGTTTTTGATAACCATTATCAGGCAGTCATGTGTTCAATCAAGTATCACTTGGCGTATCAAGTTCACTCATGTGACAAGTCCAAGGCTTATAACGAAGGCTAACGTTGAGGAGTGTCGTGTAAACAACGCATGGATGATCCAAAGCTCGGGCTCCGCCCCCGAGCTGTATGTGGTGTATCAGTCTCAACAATATGAAAGATCTTAGTGTGTTCTGACGCGCCGGACCCCGCAGCCTGCATTGACATTGTACACGTCGTTCAGTCATCGTCATACAGGAGAAAGCTGAGAGTTTGGACATCGATATATCATAAGAAACGGAATCGCTCTGGTGATGCTGAGACCTTATAGCAAATAAATGGACCTGAACAAAGCTAACACGAAAGTCAACAACAATTCAAGAGCATATAATCGTCTCTGTGCAGAATGGGTATCACATCGTGCTCGTGCCGTCAAATGACACAAACAATCCAAAAAATTATATGATCCATGACGGCGTGCTCACATATTGCATGAAGCGAATCAGGCTGTCTACTCCTTCTTGGCCTCCCTCTCCTGCTTCCTGAGTGCCCTTCTCCTGATATCCTTATGCAGCGAATGGGTATAAGCGATAAACCGAGTCTTCCATCCGACGACGTGCATCACGTAATCGAGAAGCGCGTGGCTCCAGAACGCGGTGAGCGTGCCTGGGCGCCCGGTCAGTGCTGCACCGCAGGAGAAGCCAATTTTGGAGAGGCATGCGCGGACGTAGGATGCGGGACTGGGGATGAACGCAGATGTGCGTCGGATATTTGACATCTTGGAAACCTGGAGAAGACAAGAAGGGGGACATGGTGAGGTGTAAGGGCTCGGAGAGGGAATGAATGTTACGCACGACAAAGTAAGTATTAAGGTGTTGGACGACGACCCCATGAGACCGAACTTCGTCTGCGAGGGCGCTGGTGAAGGTTTCGAGGAACGCCTTAGTACCACTGTATGTCGCTAGCATTGGAGAAGGCACGAGACCCGCGAAGGAGCCGAGGTTGAGGACCAACCCACGTTTCCTAAGACCATTCACATTGAAGCAATAGAGGTGGGACGCAGCTTATATAGCTCACCGCTGAATCATACCAGGGAGAACTGCATGTGTGACGCGGATTGTCGCATTCACGTTGATAGCAACGATGTCAGCATTTTCTTGTTCCACAGTTTCAGCAAAATAAGTGGGCATTGCGTGGGATTTTCCGACATTGTTAACTATACTGTGTCAAAAACAAAGGCTTGAGAGTATTACTGAGCACGCACCGAGGACACCGACATCGAGAGTATGAAGGAGAGCTTTCAGGCCATCATATTTAAGGTCGTCGTTTTGGGCAAAGTCGATAAGGTAGATCTTGGTTTCAACTGTAGATTTTGTTTTCGTAGCTAGAAGAGATGTGAGGCTTTGAGAAACACCGATATGAAGAACTCGTACCAATCTCAACTGCCACATCATTCAACATCTTGGCATTCCGTGCGACGAGCAAGACATTGAAGCCCGCTGAACCTAGCTGGATTGCAAACTCCCTCCCAATGCCATCTGAAGCACCCGTAACGACTGGAATGAATGAATGAATGGGATTCGCGCTTCAGCAGAAGTCGCTTAACCTACCTGCCCATGCTCCCTTCTTAGCACCAAACTTCTTGAGCTGCGGCAAGGCAAGTCAGGTTCCACCGGAAGGCTAAAGGCATGTGTTCTATGATCCACATACATGTGTCCCAGAAAGAATGAAGGTCTGGAAGAAGACGACAAGAGTTTTGAATGTAAAACGTGCAAATGTTAGAACACCGAGAGAGAACAGAAGTGCATACTGCCAAGGACAGTTATTGACTGTTACGCGAGTTCAGAGAGCAAAAATAATATTATATAAAATACACTGACCTTGATCAAGAAGCCAAACTTTGAGTGCAGTAGCGTACATCGTCGCGTCGCAGTCGCGTGCTACTAAGACTCAATGGCAAAGTGACTCATTGCTTAGTAAGCTCATGTTTTTCGGTAGTTCCGCCGTTATGCCATTGCCAGTGCTTGCGCCGCGTCATTCAAGTCGATCAAGAGGGTACATGGCACACCACGATTCGGGAATCTCTTGATCATTTCGAATTTCCGCTCTTCCCTTACAAGCCCGTGTTCTTCAACTTTATGCTGTCAAGATCATGCCAGCCTGAGTTGCGTGGTTTCTCGGTTTCTCACTGGGTAAGTCGATCATTTACCTGTGTAGCTAGCTCATTATCTTATTTATGTTAATATTATGTGTCCAGTGCATCTCGGGGAATTGGCCTTGAACTTACCAGGCAGCTCCTACAGTCGTCTTCCAACACCTGTCGCTCTTCTGCCACAGCCCTTGGCCTTGAATCTTAATGTCGTCAAATCCAGTCCTGGGATCCCTTATTTCGTCCAAATCGATGTAATGAACGAAGACAGTATCAAGACTGGGTGTTCAAAAGTTCTCGAGCTTCTCGACGGCACTGGGTTGGACTATATCATTAATAATGCTGCGATCGTGCGTTTTGCTGTGTTAGCTTTTACAGGTTGTATGATGATTCTGGCACTGCAGAACCCTCGTAGAGACTTGCTATTTAGCTTCGATCCAGCTGTGCTTGCAGAGACGATCAAATGTAATGTCACAGGTCCAACACTGGTTACATCCTTCCTTCTCCCAGCTATGGAGAATAGTAGCAGCAAAATCATCGTCAACATGAGCTCCTCTCTTGCCAGTATCAACTAAGATCTCGGGCCCGAATCAACCGGCTACAATATCAGCAAGGTGGGACTTGACGTACTCGTAGGCGATCTTTTCATCAATTGGTGTTTGCTAGAATACTGACTGTTATCTCTTGTTTTCACGAATGAATTCTTTTGCGCTGTTCTTTGATCTGTCGGTCTATACTTCCTCTTACAATTGACAGTGATTGGCCACGCAACAGACATGCAAACAAATGTATGAGCGTTCCCACTTTATCTCCATTCTCATGGACCCCAGTTGGGTTAAGGACAGAGATGGGCGGCAAGGGTGCGGTGATCGAGCCCCATGTCTCCGAGTTTGTGACGGGCATTCTGAACATCGTGACGAAACTCATCACATCTGACGTGGGCACGTTTTACAATTATTTGGGGAAGCACAACCCGTGGTGATAGAATAATATTTGCGAAGTTGTATAGCCATCGATATAAATCCCTATGCTGTGAGTGGTGGTGCAGGAAGTATGAGCTCCGTAGGGCTTTTCCTCATGCTCCTGCTTTTGTACTGAAGGCTCTGCTGGCTTCGATCACACTTTTAATCTGATATGCAAAACTGTGGCTCTTGCGATCCGAACCGAAGAACCTCCGCGAGAGTCGCAGCACATTATCGTATCACCGCCATCCTGATATACCCTTGGTCCATCCAATGGCAACGTAAACCTCCGCACCAAACCCGCACGTTATTCACCTTTGTCATCTAATCGAATATGCAGTTCACATTGCCCACCTCACCGATCACACGTGCTCATGGTTCTTCTCCCACAGAGCCCGAGTCGACATCAAGACCGTCGTATCTCTCGAAATACGACGATATGACCTAGACCTAGACATGATGGTGTACGCTCTATAGATTTACACGTCTGATTCCGTGCTGGCTAATAGGATCGACAGGCTTGGAGTGCGTCCCAAACTTCGCGGACTGCTTGGGCACGTGGTGGATACGTGGCGCCCTCAAATCTGCGTGACGTGGCTCTCGCATCGCCAGCATGCGTTTGGTGCGTGTTGGTCTTGTATTGATCCATTCATCAATTTTTCTCCCGCAGTCCCCCCGATATGCTGTTGTTGATCTCTTCAAAAGACCTGTAAAAGACTAGTTGGCACAGAAGCAGTATCATCCAGGGGCTCTCGCAAAATGTTCTTCCATTTCGCGCATGTGCGCCTCCTGTTTTATAGTCTGCACGCTTCAACTGGATGCAATATTGTGTCAGGGAAGGAGCCGCGTGTCGCACATTAACTCGGTTCGGTAGATCTGATGGCCGTGTTCAATGGGGAGGTTTAAAGCGACCCGGGGAGAATTAGCCCAAGCTGAACCTGTACATTTAATTCCCACTCCCCTCCCAGCTAATCTTCCAACTGTACTAACGACCTGCAATGCCTGATGTTCATGGCGTCCTTATTATCGCCCGCAACGGCGACCGCACGGAGTTTTACCAAGACCCGTATACCTATGAGCCCTCTTACAGCGAGTCCACACCTCTCGGCGCTGTATGTCTACCCCATTCTCCGCGCACCCTACCTAATATATGACTTTAGGTAGAATCATACCAGCTTGGTTACTACTTGAGATCGATGTACCTAAATCCCTCTTCCCCGTCGCACATCCAAGGCATCCATGCTGACCTCGTGCAGAATGATCAAGTGGTTGTGCATGCCAAGGCTGGCGGGGAAGGCACTTCGGTCTTTGATAGTGCCATAGCCGTCCTGCAAGGCCTCTTCCCGCCAAATTCAAACAACCTGATCGAGCTTGCTAACGGGACGAAGGTTGTCACTCCACTTGGGGGTTACCAGTACATTCCAGTCGAAATGGCCCCGAGTAGCGCTGACCGCGCGCTGGAGCCCTGGACTGAGTGTCCGGTGAGTTATGTGCCCCCAGGGGTCTACGGAGGGCTGATTCGTGTGGTATATAGGCATTCGAGCAGCACATCAAGAGTGTATATGCATCTGAGGGATTCAAGGAGATTGGGAAATCTGCAGGACACTTCTTTGACGTCGTTCGCGACTATGTATTCGGGAGGCCTACGACCATTGAAAATGCTGTACGTATTCTTCTGTTTCGTCCTTACTCGTGCTGATCACCCTATGCCAGTGGAATGTATGTAACACGCAGCATTCTCTTGATCATTTTAATGTTGTGATATTTCATGTAGATCTATGACTTCATAAACTCGCAGCTTACGCACAACCAAACATACGCGTACCGTCTTCCCCCCACTTTCATTGAGCAGGCTCACGGATATGCTAACTACCACGAGAACGCGATCTTCTCGGACAAGGAAATGGGTGGAATTGGAAATAGTGCGTTTCAGTGCCTGGTATCGTTTGCAACTACTAATCTCCTGCTTAGTTGCTGGTCGTACTATCCTTCACAGCATTCTCCACACTCTTCAACGCATCACTTTTGACGAGGACCCCCTCAAGTTGCTTCTCCTTGAGACAACTTACCAGCCATTCATCTCACTATTCCACATGATGGAGATGGTCAACGAGCACCCTCAGCTCGCTGCTATTCGTGAGTATTCCACTTCAGACAACCTTACAGCGACTCGATATTTACATCACTACAGCAAACCGTGCATCCGCCCTTGCCTTCGAGCTTCTTCGTGGACCTCCACCTGAACTCCGCGAATTCCTCCGCATCAAGTTCAAGAACGGGACCAACGAGGAATTCCAGACTTATCCCATCTTCGGTCACAAAGGAGACATTGCGGTAACGGAATTCTTGTATCGCCTTGAGGTAAGTCTTGTGCACGTCGTGTTTGGCTCGCACTCATATGTTTTCCAGAACTTTGCTATCTCGAGCCAGAAACAATGGGAATCTGCGTGTGGAGTCCATAGCGGCTACTTCGGTATCACGTCTGCTGCTGAGAGCACGAACATGCTGCTCGCTGCCTTCTCAGTATTCTTGCTCCTTGGCGTGTTTGCCCTGTCATGGTTCAAGCGCAGGCGGAGTACATATGTTCCTATTCGTGAAGTGGTGAGTTGCTTCAATCTGTGCTATGCTCTGTTGACTTACGGATACGACCTGTAGCATGTTGTTAACAACGAGAAGGGGAGACTTTTGCCATGAGTTGGGTGTGAGGCGGATATGGGCGTGGTTTTCTTATATCATGTTGTTTGAGTAGCATTACATTTGTTTAGATCAGCAGTCTTTGTTTACTTGGACTATGTTTTCTAACGATTTAAAATCTTGCGAGAGATAAGGGGTCTGCATGCCGCTACGTAGTAGACATGAGCGATTTGAAGGAGAACTGAGAAGATATCCCTGGTCGGACCCGTTCGGGCACAGTCACGTGCATCGCGTCTCATTAAACATTCGAAATTCAATATCGATTGAATTCAGCGTTTTGAAATATTTGCAAAACACCATTAACGCATTCTCAAAATGGAGCCTTAGCAGAGACCACCCATTTCGAGAACACGACGTCACAGCAGACCCCGCCGCCGTCATTCAGTGTGCTCCACATTACTTTCAGTTCCCATTACATTTTATTACAAGTATATGGCCTCCTCACGCAATACGCCATATTCATTGAGAATGTAGTCAATCATGCCAATCTCTTTTCGTCTCATCTCTTCTCCACATAGCTGTTAACAATCGTCTACTGGCACGTCATCCAACTCCCGCAGCAGGTCCATATCGACCATCCCAGCAGCACGAAGGTTATCCTCTTGCGGATCCTCGACGTCGCTCAAAAGGTCTGTCAGTACACGGAAGCGATTCGCAAGCCAAATGATTTGGAGAATGCCAGCGCTATCGATAGGCATTGTATAGTTCCGCCTATGCATCCCGTTTGTTACGCGCATTGATAACGCTAACATAAGCAGAGAGCAGGTGAGCGCAAATGCAAGCTAGATCCTTTGGTTAGTGATACATAACTCCTACACATGCGACAGGATCCTTACGGGCCATAAGTTTATCTGGATGATCTACTGCTCAGCTATGAAATTCACCATCGAATAATTCTGACCTTACACCAAGGTGCCATTGCAGAACCTGCTGTGAAATGGTGGTGTTTTCAGGTTTCCGATCAAACCCGCCACCGTTGGCGCCGAGCTGTCCGCCTTTTAGTAGCAGTGTGTCAGTCAACCATTTCTGCACAAATCAATCGGAAGTCACGACATACCTGTCCATAGAAGTGCGGCATAGGCCCTTGATAGAGCCGATTCAAATTGGTCACGGCTACACAGAATTTTTCTTCGGAATTGGAGGAGCGTGGTTCAGGACAGAGAAGCCTCCGTATCTTGCTGGGTCGGGAAAGATGATATTTATTCCAATCTGCTGCATAAAATATCTGACAAGATGATTAGCAAGGACTGAACATTACTACGAACTGTGCATAGATTACATTTCCAAAAGAGATAACCCATAACACGATGCTCGGTCCTGATTCATGCACCAGCCAATGGGATGATGTGCCCCGCCTACGAAAGGAGAAACAAGCTATCAAGCGCCGAAAACCGTACGGTTAGATCTCAGTCAGTCCATCAATGGCAGAAACTTACCCATTTTTCATGATGCAATGCACTTGCTGACGGCGGTGACCAGATATCCCATTTCGGTTCTTCCTCCGGCGGTGACCATGCCTCCCATTCGCCATAAACAATCGGCTCAAGGGATGGAGAAAGACCCAGTAGTTGATTGGTCTGTACATCAACAGTGGCGACATGGGGTTGAACATCAATAGTGCACGCCACTATATGGACGTCGTACATGCTATGATTCAGGGGAGGCTGGGGACTACCTATAGTCGTGTTCAGAACACATTCGTGCGCGACGAAGCCTCTTACCTATGAAGTTCATATGAGGATATGCCCAATACACGTGTTGAACTGTTTCATCGCCGGGTAAATGGCTCGAGTTCATAGCGGTCGAGGCTGTGAAAGCAACAGTCGGCTAGAATATAGTTATTTAGCGAGAGATCCAAATTTCAGGAAGATTGGCATGTACTCCTGGAAAGAATAAGGAGATAGCAGGATTTATCGTAACCTCATCTGGATCTAAGAATAGACGTTTGGATGAATCTATTCCAAGAACTAACATAAGAAAATACATACATGGATGCACAAGTCTAGCTCTAAATTCCACGGTATGATTGAGCTTTGATATTGGCGGGTTGAGTGTAAGATATCCGAAATTGTCAGCGTTAATTTCAGGAGAATAGTTTAACATGGAATTGCGAACTAATCCACAATTCGCTCTGAACGACGATGCATTAACAATGGCGCGACCAGATGTATCGGTAGACTGAATGATGTCGTATAAAGTGGCACCGTGGAGTCCCATGCCCTGAGGATTGGCGAATCGGCCTAACGTAGGAACCAATGCACTGATGGTTTGCCACTGGATCGTCATCATGTCTAGGTCTGGACTAGGCCAGTAAGAAATTTTTGTAGCGGACGCATCCACGGTGGAGTTGAATGTTTGCAATTGAATGATAGACGACGAAACCACGTGAAGGGAAAAAAACACATGTAAGATAGGCCGTTATGGACAATATGCTCCACCATGATGCCGGGATTGTTGATTGTCGCCGAAGACACTCCAGCGCAGAACCAAGACCCTTCCATGCGTTCACTGTATCATGAAGAGCGGTTATCGTCTGGTGTCGCGTCACGTTCTCGAGGAATGTCAATCGTTGCATTAAGTAAACGAGTATCGTGCAATAGATCTGAAGGGTTCATGGGTCCAAGAAAATAGTACATATGTGATGGTTCCTCACCACATAAAACGCCTGTGATGATGCACTTATTATAGTGACCCAGATTTCATTGCCAGATGTCAATTGGACGACTAGACGGTGCTCGATACTCGAAATGCTGAGCGCAAGAATAGCAACGTGGAGGAGGACAAGAATGATATGCAGAAGAGTGCATAGAATGGCAAGCACTCGCCCGGGCCTCCCTGATTCCTGCCGCTGCTTAATGACTGCCGGTGAAGCCAATTGGTGATCTGCAATCGTTCATGTGAGGAAGAAATTGATACTATGTTGCGTGAGTACCTGACGACGTAGTGTGTGTTTGTACTCGTTCGAGCATCATAGAACACGTGTGACGGGTACCTATTGGGTGCAAAGGAAAGACTCCATGATCTTGCTGTGGCTTTGCGAAGACGTTGGGTAGTGTGAGAGAGGTCATGAAGTGTGAAAGGACATCGTACGAAACCATACGTACTATAAGAGACCAGTCAGGACTGCTGTGTCACATACCTCGAATTTCCTGCCGGTCTCCGGCTCATGGCGGTGAGGTAATCGCAACAGGTCTTGACATTATTCCATGCAGGTATCCATATGAAGAGGTCTCGCAAAAACTTCGTCCACTTCTGATTTAGGGAAGTGCGGAGCATAAAACCTATGCATGGGGAAGACCCAAGATCTGAGTGGGACGGTGTGAATTTAGAATCACTCACTATTAATGTAAGCACAGGCCGCTGAGCCATAGGACTGGAGTATTATTGATAGTCCATGACTCGGATGAGCGTCAGAGTGGAAGATCTGGATTATCATTCGCAGATCATTGTTCAAGTTCAGCACTATAAATATACTGTAATTATGATAACTTCGTCGAAATGTTGTGAGAATACCCATCATGATGGTAGATCATGATTCCAGACGAGTCAGCTCGAGTCCGTAGTGGAGACCTATTGTGGCGTTTGGACAGCCACCAATAGCAACCCGTCCTTGTACCATCCGAGTTGCCCCGCGCTGCGCAGTGCGCACATACTTATTTCACGTGTTACCTTACAAAAAACCTATAGAAGACCCAGTAGAAAAGCCTGGTATTCTTGCAACTAAGATACATTGCTCTGATCGTCGTAAGTCTTTTCCCTGTCTCTCAAGTATTACTACTTCGAGGGTGGCCCGTTGCTACACCTGTTAGTACTGTACTATACATATACTAGTAGTATACCACTGTCTACGATGTCTGTGCACGGGCGCCGGGCTTTGCACGCGCTGGGAAAACTCTCGACGCTTGTCACTAGCACTGCATGGAAAGATGAGACCGTGTGGCCGCCACTGTGGCGCAACGGTGCAGATCAGCTATCTACTATCATTAGAGTTTCAATGTCCGCGCGAGGAAGTTTTTTATTTGGTAACGTTGGTGGCTGGGCAAGTTGTACGACGAAACACGCGTGCAGTACTAATTACTGCGCATGCGGCGAGTCTTGGTGATCCTGTGCTGTGTGAATCCTTTATGATGGGAGCAGTCTTTAATTACAAGGCGACCATCACGTACTTTCTTAGATATCGTCTTCTCTGCAGACTTCAAACCAGCACGGTGACCCCAAGTTGTTGATATGGTGTTTGATTATGGCCGTGCACTAGGTCGTCGATCCTAGCTCATCAAGCTTTCAAGATTGATTTGCATAGCATCATGGTGGTATACTTGCAATGGGAACTGAAACAGCGCATAAAAGCAACGTCACAGTGATAAGCTGATTGTCTACCCTTTAGCATGTTCTCTTCTCTGCTACCTAACGTGTTGAACACGAAGCGACAGGGAAACCATGGCTCCATGTCATTGCAACCAATTGGGAGCCTCTCGAGCTCTTCTGTACATGAACGAATGCCAACAAACACTCCGAGTCAATGTCGATGTCTGCACAAGTCAACAAAATCGGTATCGGCATTTCTGTGTGTGTTTATGCACGGATTTCTTGTTCTTCTCCATCTTGTTCTCCTGGGGCTAAGGATTTCTGCCGTCGAGCACCACCTTGTCACATCTGAGAATGATGCATGGATGTCGGTATTGGGCGCATCGACACAGGCCTTTTATGCAGTGAGGCTAATTGTTCGTTCAAATTAGACTTAATTGATCTTGACCTATAAAGCTGTATTGTATGATACTCGTTTACCTGGTGCAACGGCTGACACTCTACCGGACCTTAATTCAGCATCAAAAATTGACCATCCTTCACGACAATGTTAACGCATGGAGTGGCCTTGGTTCTGCATTACAGTGTCTCTGGCAGCAATCAAGCACTACTGGATCATTGTGGTGGATCGCGTCAATTGCCACTTATCTGGGATGTGTATTCGCGCTTCATGTAGCTTCATCATCCATATTGCAGCTGCAGACATTCACTGCAACCACAAACATGTCGGCAACAACGCTCTCTCACTGGCCTGGCCCAGATATCGACATGACGGCGCTTCAGTGGCACACCATTAGCGCCATTGTTCCTTCCCTGGGCCATTTTACCAGTCCGTCGAACGCGGGACTTAATGGTGCCACACTGTATGACACCGTTCAAGCAGATGGCGCCACAGGAAACGCCACTGTAGATGCAACTACATTCCGAACGGAGTGTGGGTTGCTCCGTAATTCCGAGTTGAGCTACACCCCAAAGCTGAATGCCAATCAATTCGGAGACTACGTGGTCGAGCCTCAAGTTTCAGGTGGCGAGCAGACCAGGAAATGGCCAGCCAGGCTGGTACCCTCCCTGTCGGTGTTTCCTTCCTCACTTGCAAGAGTTGTATCTTACATTTGAGTAGATCAAGATCAGTTGGTAGTCAGTCTTTCCATGTCTGACCTTTTCCCTGGAGTATGTATATTTCAATTATTGTTTGCTTATACATGGCTCTCTAAGCGACCCATACCACCTTTAGCCCACCATCGTATTCGTAATTCCTATGTCCATCGATGTTGATGACTCCCTGAAATCAGCAACCGTACAGCACATGAACTGGGAATACCAATCCGGTATGTGCTCGCGCTACCACCCTGCCCCGCTCGCTAATGGTCTCGACAGACAGTCCACAAGCTCCGATCATCTCGACTGTACTTGATGCTCATTTAATAGGTTGCAACATATATGTTGAACACTATACGGCGGAAGTCGATACGGAAACAGGTCAATTACTGTCACTCTTACCACCCCCGGTTCTATCTCCTCCTTCGAACTGGAAGGCATGGACGGCGCCAAAGGGAGACAATATTCGTGATATCTGGTCGCCGCCAGAAGTACTAGGTCAGTATAGGCGTAATAAAAATTGGGTTAGCAAATATGTTATTAGCAATTGTGACCTTCGTCTGCTGAACACATCGAAGCTTGCATATCCATTCAGGACTGGAGCTATGCACCCCGTAAAGATTTGTATGACTCAAAGTCAAGCAACCTGCTACGGAATCTCTCTTCTCGAGCTGTAAGGCAACCACGTTGAGGGCTATCTTACAAACTGACGCCTCGCCTTTCAGGTATTTTATGGAAGAAATCGGTTTACCTATGGTTTTGGAAGAGCAAGATTCTAAGCCACCACCTCCATCTGGTCCAAAGAAGGTTCTTTGTAGTCGCCACCAATTCGAATCTAGTCTCTCTAAGATATTCGCATCGTTGTTGTGGACCGGTAAAGTGTTTTATTTATCACGTGTACCAGACTTGAAAGACGATGCAGGCGCAAAACTCGGCTCCGATGCTGGTGGCTTTGACCCAAGACCAGGTAGCACTGTCGTTTCTCGGCAGGTTATAAAATGGCATCTCAACGTAGGTACTTCATCATACAGAGCATTCGATCCCGCCAACCTACGTTTCAGATCAACTTGTGGCCTGTAAGACCCCGATTGAAAACTGACTTGGCCAGACTTTACTGAAGAGATGCAGTTGGCAGTCGCATTGGCCGCTTCGTTGACCATGTTAGCCCTCTCGATCTACATGTCAGGTGGCATATATCGGCAAAAAAACAGGACACTCATAGATAGTGCTGGCATTCTCCAGATCATCTGGCTGACAAACCGTCTCCGCGTGCTGAAAGACCTCGTGAGTAAGGTGGATGATCCAAAAGAAGATATTCTTCGTTCTGCTGGGATGTTGGAAGTGGATCTGTTACAAGAGCTAAACAGGTAGGCATCTAATTCTTAGCAGCAAGACTGACCTATTGATCATGTGTTTTCTTGAATTTAGCGAAAGGTGCACTACGCACGATACCGTGAAGAATGACTCGCAGTGGCCAGGGCAGCCCCCTACTTGTACGAGTTCCGTGCCGCACCCCGAACAAGCATCCCCGTCTCATGATAGGGCGGAGCACCCTGCCACATCAAGATCATTAGTTTAGTTTATGCGCATCCTCTCATATTTTCATGAATGTCACATTTCCGCCCATCGATAGTATTTGTTCTTCTCTCACACCCTACCCATCCATCATATTACGGTGGCAGTTTGCGTCACAATTCCATGGTTGGCTGGCGCGTCGTATCTATTTGTCTACATAAACGAGTTCCGTGCCCATCACGGCCTAATTCACTGCCGCTCATGTCGACATGATTAGTCTATAAAATACAAGTACACCCAGTAGTATACATTACAAACGCGATATCATAAGAGGAAGGGATGTCAAGACTTGGGATCGACCGAAACGGTTTTATATTGGTGTTAGACTGTACAGCCATATTTCACTCCCTCCCCACATCCATCAGCGATTCACTATACCATCGAGGGCTATGTAGCCAGCAAGGACGATCACACACGGTTAACTGGGGGGAACTGAGCGGAACCTTGCGAGTCGAAAGCATCCTAAACGTTGATGGTGCTGCACATACATATTCCAAGTTAGTCTATTTAGGAATTAGTGTGTTGCTAGCGCACGAATGGTTCCTTAGGTCCTTACGCTGCTACAGGGCAAACCGAGTAGCACGGGGACCTAGGGCACGTCGCTTTAGCAACGTGGCGCTGGCGTAAATACGCCGGTCGGGGGTCGGGAATTCGGAATCGAATGGTAGCATGCGCCGTTTTGACATCTGTCCAGCTAGGTCCGGCTTTGTATATACTGGACTCGCTTTAGATCTTGTGTGGCGCAAATAGAAAGGACTGTGCCCATAGTGTCAACACCAGGAGGGATGCGAGCATAGAGGTCGTTGCATGAGTGGGTACCCATCACTGATTCATCTCACTACACACTGGCAAGAAGTGAACAAGACACCATTGCACGATGTATGGGCTATGAACACTGTTAAACCACTGGCAGGTGAACATGTATGATTTTAGTGAAACGAAATGAGGCGTAAAAGTTGAGCGAGGAATCAAACTAAGTGATGGCGAGACTGGTGACTACCGTGAGATATTCATCATCATTATCAGATTGAACTCTTCGGCAGACGGCAACACATTAAGCAGTTCAAACTACCACTCGAGTAGCAGTGATATAGACGTACCTGCTCTACTAGTGGTGAACTGTACGAAATATAATAGTGATTCTATTCTTACTCATGCATCATGACTATAAGTATCCTGAAACGCCAGACAAAAGCGAAAAAAGAAATTGGCATCCAGAAACAGAATCCAATCAGCCAGAACCAGCCTGCCAATTGTGGGAGGAGATCACGGATTGTACGTTGATTCTGGTGGTAAAGACATCGAGGCTGGGGTCATCGTCCCAGATGGCGGTGGAGAAAATGCCATCATCCGTAGATTTGTGCAGGTTAAGCACCAGCCGAGAGATGAGAGTGACGGACATGCTGGGGTCATATTCAAAATCGATCCGTGTTTATCGCACCAATCACTTACCAACTAGTGAATGTGGCTAGATTTCCCCTGGTGATATACTTGTCAATCGTCAGCAAATAGCCAACCGGATTGCAAGATGCAGGCGTGTGCTCACTGAACCACACTAAATCATGGTGTGAGCGTGCGACTCGATATCTCATTCGTTAACTCACATAGTACGTCAGAATGTTGGGTATATTAATCAATGTCATCGTTCTGAATGAACACAGATCAGTTTCACTCGAATCACAATGAATTTGCTAGAAATCTTACGCGAAATACATCGCACCTGCATTTGCTTGGTTCAGAATTTATATTACAAGCGTGACGAAAAAAAATACCATCTTGAAATATGATATCAAGGATATTTTTGCTGGATACAGATAACCGCAGAAATCCCCTGGTCTTGCAAGTCCTGAAGACTGTGAGGACAAAGATGAGTAATTCGTAGACAAAAACTGCAACCCAAGCCAGCCCAGAACCTGCAAGTGGATAAGGTAGTGGCGTCATCAACTTGCATGCAACGTGACCGAAAATTCACTGACGGGCGGCTCTGCCACGACTTAGTTGAGCAGGCGCATACCGATAAAGGGAACGACATACGTCTCTGCTGTGAATGTGTTATGACAATCACTTCCTTGTATGTAAATCACAGTATTTGAATTATCTCCAAAAGAACCCGCCTAAAAATATCAGCAGAATGTAGAGTGCAAAAGGATGTGCGAACACGTACAAACGCTCCTCCCAAAAGAGCAAGGCCGATGATAACCATGCAACTAAGCAGGCGCCTGCTACGATTGTACAGGGCATAAATGCGCAGAGTCAATGTAACTGAAAATCTTTCAGGGTATGTATTTCTCGCGATCAACTTTTCACTCACGGCAAACAGTTATTTGTTGAAGAAAAAGAAACAGCTCTCTGACTAGCATGTATCTCGAACAGCTAAGCCTTTGGTAAGAACAACAATATATATTCAATAAGTAAGATTGAAACCTCTGCAGAAACAAGTTGTGAGCCTGCTATCCGGGTAGATGCATGACGAAATCATCGAACCTCATCTGAAACGGCGGGCAGGAAATCGATAAACAAGCCAAAGATATTGACGACCAGGGCAAAGTAGCGATTGACGAAAAAGAACATTGCAGACAGTATTCTTGGACGACACCAAATAAACTTGATTTCTTCTGGGAGGGTCACCATATGATCGTACATCAGAATACCTATGAAATTTGTTATCATCCTGAGAACAAAGATGGAAAGCCCTAGTACTGTTTGCCACGAGAACGGCGTACAAGTGAAACAACCTGGTAAATCGTAAGGTCATGATCATGACATTTGTGCGTGGATCACTCACAACTGCTGTTTTTCAATGATATCCATTACAATGAGGCAATGCGCAATATAGGAAGTGGGTGTTGAGAATGTCCGATCGACGCACTATTATAACAGTATTACTAAATACACATTACGAGCGAACTTATTGTATTACTGTAAAGGCTGTTCAAACGTGCCACCGTGTAACATCCACTTACAGAATCCGTACTGGTCGTAGTACGTGGACCTACAAGGATGATAGTACACCATCATGCATCAGCTTTAGATGTCTCGGCACAGCGCAAATGCATGCGATGTTTTATGATAAGGTTGAACGCCACGCAGAGGCTGTATCTCTTTCGTAACGCATCAGGCACTTGAAAGAAATGCATAAAGACCATGCACGCACATTAATGGCATATGATACTAGTACTGACAAGAAGAAATAAACACGGAAGCAATTACCTACGGTATGCGTGCTTCAAGGAGAAATCCGAGTCTGTCGGCCCTCCGATGTCTGAGACAGTCTGATCGATGATGCATGATGTGTGTATCATGGGATGATGTAGGAAAGATAAAAATATGACTTTGTTACAAGGTCTCCACCCATCGTGCCAATAAACTCAGATGAGCCTTGGTGGCGGCAAGTCAGACTGATCTACAAGCGGTGGCGTTGCTGTTTATTGGCACCAACTCATGTGATTTCGCTGCAAAAGCACACTATATTTGGACTATCTTTCTCATTCGCTCCTACAACGTATCTCGACGCGGGACAATGCAGTATATGGTTGTCCATGAGCAAAAGGATCAGTTCTGAGATCTAGAACTGTGCGAGAGAACGTGAGACCCCGGCAGCCGTTGGAAGTAGTCGACGCCTCAAAGGAAACTGTTTGCGATTCACCGTCCATCGCAGGTGATGGCTACTGCTTCTCGAATGAGGTCGGCGCACGGTTTGAAAATGTTAGTACTTTGGAATGAAGATTAGAAGTTCCTCATCCTGGTCGACCCTCCGCAAAGAAAATACTGCTCTCGTGACTCTAACATGCCGTTGTTCAACATTGAGCTGATTGTACATGTTCTCACTCTCTGCGTGAAATGCACACTCATTCCTCCGCAAGTATAGTTCTTCGTCGTATACTTCCAAAGATCTCCGTCGTGCGGCTGGTAGTCCGTAATCTCCGAGATATTTGCCATAGTGTGATAGATAGTCGACAATGATTTGCAGCGTGTAGTCGTATCCACTTATTTGCCAGTCTGAGGATGTGGTGAAAAGCAAATTGAGAAGGTGGTCAGACTCAGAGGATTATCGATCAGTGTGCTGCACAGCATGACGGGATGACACCGAGCCGCTTATGTATGTTTCCAATTCTCAATCCATAAATGGTAGACAAATAGTATTGGCAGTACCAGTGTGTCAGGGTATCATTGCGATCGTTTGGATCAGTGGACGCTCGCAACACAAGCCTCGTACCTTCTGAATCGGTGTTCTGTTGCACTGGGTTTGGCTTCTACAGGAAGAATGGCTATGATGTTCTTCACTTCGTCAAATGACACTCGTACTTGGCTTGCAAAAATCACTCACCTTTCCACAGGTCATACGAGCTGCTAGATGCGGAGTCGACAAAAGATTGAACAAAGAGCACAAAAATAGATCCAATTCGTACATCCTACACATATCGTCCATGTCCTGAGTTCTCCTCGATACCTGCAACGACAATACCCCCTCTCAACATCCTCTCCTCGCCGTCCATGTCTCCACCGCCAAGGGCCCGTTCACTATAGCCTCTCACTAAGATCTCATTCACGCGCTCCAAGCTCTGGGCCGCAGTCAGAATCGCGAGCATAGTGGGTGTGGGCGAGATCATGGGTTGCGAGGTGCTCGAGGCGAGAGTCATTGAAACAGAGGTCTTCTGTCCTGCATGCACGAGGTGGTCAGGATATGAAGGGAACGGGAGCATCGGTGAAGTCTCAGTCCCTCTATTCGTCTCTTTCCGCCTCCCCTTCCTGGATTTACTCTGACTCTTGCGCTTCTTGAGTTTCTTTGCAGAGGAAGGGAGCGGGAAGAGCGAAATGTCAGGGGAAGTAACATATGCACTCTGATTTGCGTTCGAATCTTTTTGCGATCTCAGGTTGGCCTTTGCCTTGGTCTCTGAGTTCAAGGGGCTGTCGTAAGCGCCTGTAAAAACCCTTGCATTGGACGTGGGTGAAGAACGCGAGACCAACTTCGGGCTTAAATTCGCAAGTGTGGCAAAACTGAGCGCACCATATGAAGTAGAGGTGAATAGCAGTGCGGCTTCGAGGGGGGGAGACATCAGGAATGGGGGGCTACGTGGGAGAACGGAAGAGTCGATTTGCGGAATCGATATGCTACGCTCCAGCGATTTGGGCTCAGATTCCATTCTTTTCTCAAGGAGGTCCTGCTGCTTACGCTCTTTAGGTGGTCCTTCACGCGTCGAAGTGAATAAAGCAGATCGTGGCATCGGTGATGGGGATCGCGGGATTTGTGAAGGAGATTGTATAATGTATGGTGTGGATGGAGAAGGTTTAGCCGGGGAAGGAGATGAGAGCAGCGGCACGGGTTTATTTTTCCAACGAGGCGTCCAGAACTGACTGACTCTCGAGATGGGGGTCCGTGGAGTCTCTGCCATTGGTACATAACCAGTATGCTGATCGCCAGTGGCCTTGTATTTGCGGGACTTGCCATATCTCGTGCTCCCAGGTGTCTCAACCACCCCTTCAGGTGTTTCCAACCACGCTCTCACAGGCCGTTGCACCTCCCCTCCTGCACCATCCTCAAGCGAGCGCAGTGGAACATCCACCGCACTGCTCCTTCCCCCGTGGGGAGTCGTACTGTTCACAGTATTTGCGGGGTTGATGTTTGGAGCTAGAGTGGGGATTAAGTTGAGGCGGGGATGGTTACTTGGGGAGGAATCGTGCGTCCTGACCGCAGCATATTGTCTGCCATTAGCCGAGGTCGAGCGATTTGAGATTCTTTGGAACATGCTGCGTCGAGACTGGCCTGCCTCTGCCCTTTCTGCATCATATACGCGAGAAGAAGCACTATGGGTCCACGTGAACGGGTCGCCATGATCAGAGCCCCCAGTCCCAGCTGAGTTGAACTGACTTGCACCTATAAGGAATGGTGTACAGAGAGGTTTGGTCACAGTATCATCGCTGGTGACTTGGTCACGCATGTGCGTGGGGAAGAGGTACCGCGTGCCGTGTACCGTTGTTTTACTAGGTGTGCCCGCTGCAAAGAGCGTAACTTCTTCCATGCTCCTGTTGCGAGTCGAATATGGTCCATGGCATTCCACATCGTCGACACCGCCATCAACCTCATCAGGGGGCGCGGGTGTATAAGCTGGACCAGGTTCAAGATTAACCCTACTCCCACTGCCGGTTTTCCTGCCACCTAGTCCACATACGCCAGAACCCGCATCGCCGATTTGCCGGAACTTCCACCACAGACTCGCGGCACCCACCCCAAGTAAAACACCTAACACTGCGAAGAGCGGCGCTAGAAATATGACATCAAGGTGCTGGTGGTAGGAACCTTTTGTGACACCGTGAGGCAGAGTCGTATTGAGAGGAGGGAGGGCGGTGATAGAAATTATGGTAGCTGTGTTTGCACTTGCCTCGGTGGACGCGGGGGCAACGACAGAGGTAGGGTTATCTATAGGGGTTGAATCCGGAGGTGTAGAAGAAGGAGGATACGACAATGAGGTGAGACCATCGTCCTGACGTTCATATGCATACGCGTAATTAATATTCCAATGGGTCAAAGTCCCACCTCCACTCGATTGTGTGGCACGTTCATTTCCCATCATGCACGCTCACTAGGCAACGCTGGGATACAGCTGCAATATGTGATCGGGGCCGAGGACAAGAACTGAGACGCGGCTTTCTACACCAAGGGCGCTGAGGTCAGCGGCAGGTGCGTCAAGGGAAAGGCCAGCAGCAAGGAAGGTGGCCCGTCGAACTAGATGGGAAGCAGGAGAATAAGATGCGCCTGTGACGCCTGAACGCTTTGTCTTGCGCCAAAAAGTCCTTGGGCGGACTGTGCGATAAAGATTAGTATTAAAAAAAGAAGTAAATGGGAAGAGAAGACTCACAGAGAGAAGGTGCTGGTCGAGGGAGCTCACGCGTGTATGTAGATGTAGCTGGAAACGTAGAGAATACGCGTCGTGGGGGAGCCTTGACAGGTTCAGAGAAAGAAACCTGTATGGGCGGGGCAGACTGCGAACGGGAAATGCTTGACTGGTTTCGGTGCCCTCTGGATGAACGCTTGGGCGGTAAAAGCAAAGCTTCGTCAAAGGTTCGCACTTCGACCGGCGAAGAAGGTGCTGTCGAAGGATCTGCTGTCTCAAGAGTGACCATTACTGGTGATGCGAATTCAGGCTGGCTTCGGCGAGCAAGATTCAGGCTGAAACCAAGTGCGGACTGAGGCCTTGAATAGAGTGGAGTCGGTGAAACGAGCACGGTAACATCTGCCATAGTTTGAATTGAAAGGAGCGACGAGAGGTTAGTTCAAGCTAGTTAACTTGAGAATATTTGCGTCCGTCACTGAGGGAAGACAATTACATAAATAAGGTAGGGTCCAAATATAGAAGGTCCTGTAGTTCGCTTAATCGATTATCATCGGGTGTGCTATCGAAGCCTATCATGGCCATGTGCTTGGAGCCATCAACATTATGACTGCTTACACCAGGTGCATTTTCTTGATGTCGCATCTGACGCCTAAAATTAATAATCCAACATGCAGCGCAGACGGTCAGACCATGCCTCCTACGAACCTCCAAGAACACTTCATTAAATATGTCATGAACGACATGTCGATCCGCTTGATTCACCTCGAGGTAATGCAACTGGTATACTGCAGCTTTGTCAGGAGATTTTTTTTAACAGCGTGTAAACGAGCTTACAGAAACTGCCACGTATGAAATCAACGGTCACCGTCCAATGGTTAAATATATAGATCTTCATACAAAGCAACATGCGATATGCTACTCCATCCCATCGATGGGTGAATGGTGAGGGCCTGTCGTACGAAGGTATGGTGTGGAACAGAGCGGCTGGATCTGGGTATGAAAGGACTCAAAGGCTCTGCGGAAAAAAACAGACCCAATGGTTTGGAGTTTGCTTAGGTGTGCATGTGCTGCATTAACGGGAGAAGCACGGGAATGAACAGATTTCTTCGGTCGATATTTCGATGGTGCCAAAACTCTGGTATTTGCATCATCTATATTGCGTAGACGACTACTATCCTCGGTAATACGGAAGAAGGTGAATATCCGCAGAGGGAATTCAGGAATACTGTATACATTGCCCCGCGGGAGTTCTTGAAAAATTTTGGACTTCGTTGCAAGACCGGAATCGTTCTTCAGATTGATGCACGCTATCATGCCGGGGGGTGCATCAACGCTTAACTTGGCTGGCGATTCTGCCCAACAGCCTCTCCTGATGCATCCCAACTTCATCTGCTACTTATGTAGGCCATCCCCTCGACATGACGTGGACCAGCTGGGGCTTGCGCGTTCGATTTCTCGCGCTTCCCCTGAAACCTGTTAAAGACTCGGCCAAAGGCGTCCATCACCATAATGCCAGTCGCAAGATCCCGTACCTGTCTTCTACAGACTGCTCAAATTATATTTCAGTGTTGTCACTATACTCCGACCAGATCCTGGGCTTTCGTTTCCAGAGACTGTCCAATACCAGTCGGAGGTGGATAAGTGTCCGATGTTAGAGAGCGAGAACTAAGGTAACGCGAGTCTCAGTCAATGGAAGAAAGACTAGTTCATGTATGCTAACCTAAGGTAACGCGAGTCTGTAGGGCGCTAGTAAGTATCATGTATAGTATAATGTGAATGGTATACGCACCTCAGTCAATGGAAGAAAGACTGAGGTGCGGGTGTAGCGTCTAGCCATCCTTAAGTAGCAAAGAGAAAAATGGTCACATCAGTAAACCACTTTGTGGTGTACAGCGCTGTACAGCGCTGTACAGTGTGCAAGCTCCACAGCTTGGTCCCTGTTAGCCAGTTCATCAAGTAGCACCTTGCTCTGTGAATTTCTGTACAGACACTCACAGACCACCCAGCAACTACGAAATTCTACTTAAATTGGCAAAAAAAATTGCTGTCTATGTATGTACAGACACTCACAGAGCACCGGAACTGTGCAGATATTGTTCACTGTACTGATATTGCTCGCTGTACTGCTTACACGACACTAAAAATAAAACAAAACCAATATATTCAATCACATGGACTATGTTGGACGGTATTAGATCACGATCGGGAACACAATGATACAACGGTGCCTAAAACGATGAAAGAGGGGCGCGGGAATAGAAAACTAGTCGAGAAGAATTTGCAGGTGGTCGTGCTTCGCCTCAACAACTCCTTCGAGATTCAATGCCGCGGCCCTGTGCAAATGAAATTAGTATAAAAGTTTTCGGAGAGGGTGGAGATCCTTGCCATCCCGCTGCAGCCCATTCTTGCAGTTGAGCTGACAGCCTCGGACCATGATACGCGTCTCCAAGGATATCTTTGAGAAATACGAGCATCCGATTGTAAATAGGGCTGTAGTCCTTGCTTGAAAAATTCGGGTATGATTTTCCATGTCCGTTTTTCGCAAGACCGTCGAGGACGCAATTGAACTAGTATAGAAAAAAAATTAATACAACATTTGTGAAGGAGATAACCTACCACTGCGGCAACCAAAGCCAAACACGAGAGTGGCAATTCCATACGGAAGATCTCTGGCATCCTTTGCGTGATTCGATATGGCCCTGTGTAAAAGAATGCGATGGCAACCTCACGAAGGGCGGGATGGGCAAAATTTCGCGTTTTCCCCTGGCAATCTTCCGCCAGTATAGATGCGATCAGTGCAAGATCACTCACCATTTCGTCCACCCCAAACCGTAAGAATAGCGATTCTTTGATTAAACCAGCAGCTGCATGTTCAATCCAAGCAGCACGTTCTTGAGCGGGGACCAAAAGCGGGGGAATGAGCGAATATGATAGTGGTGGCAATGCTTATGGCAGTTTTCTTCAAGTCTGATCGCCAAGTTGAAAGATCGTCGTACAGCTTCAGTACAGACTGTCAGCGATATATCGGCCCAGAATGAGTTAAATACGCACCAACCAAGACATATTAATTTTTTGCTCAGGCCAAACCCCTGCGATGACAGATTAGTTTGAGAACGAATGAGAACAAATGAGCACTCACCAGCTTCAAATTGTTCACCGTTCCTATCCCACATAACCAACGTTGCGATAAGAACTTCGGTGATTGATCCTGGTAGGTTCTTCACCAAGGCTGGAAACGGATTCTCCAGGGCATGTTGCAGGCGACATTCCGCTTTGGCATCCTCCAGAAAACGCTTCCAGCGCGGGCCATACCAAGATAGTTGATCGGGTGTTGGCCCACTACCCGATGCCTTGGACCTTTTGGCTCTTGATGGCTGAACGCTAGACTCGGTTTCTTGATTTAGCAGCTTGAGGGAGTCAGGGTCAGGAAGACGGGGCTTTCTGTTTTTCTCATGGTGGCGCTGCAATACATCCTTGGGCTTCAAGGTAATGGTCTACTTAATTGTGAGCGCCAATTAGAACAATTTCTAATCTCACCTCAATGTGTTGGGACTGTTGCCGCTGTAGGCCTGGTGAGATGTCCTGAGGGCCCTTGAAAGAAAAGAAATGTAAGCGTGTCACAATTAAGTAACGTGATCATACCTGAGAGCTTTCATTCCGCTGGACGAACAAAATGAAGTGAGTTGGTCTCAGCTAGACTAGAAAACTTACGGAGGTTTTATCAAGGCTCGTCAGGGCAACAACATCATCTTCATCACGTGAATACTGGAATTCAAATTCAGGTGTGAGTGGACGAGCGACTGGAGGTTGCGAAGGTAGTGCATCCTTTGAAAATCCTATGATATCGATTTAATGAAGGGAAATCATGCCACGAAGATGTTTACCTGGATGTTCTTCTGGCACCGGCTGGCCTCCCCCCAACCAAACTCCTGCGAGCTCTTGACAGTGTCATCATTCTCCCCCTCTTCATCATCCTCTCCGTCAGCCTCTCCGTCGGGATCTTTGTTGTCGCTGTCGTCACTGTCATCGCTGTCGTTGCTGCTGCTGTTTTGGAGTCGCTGTCCTCCTCAGATCCTAGCAGCCTCAGATGACGTTGAGCCCTAACAGTGTCATCCTCCTGGCGCAGAGCTGGGTCTAAGTTGTGCTCCAAAAAGACGGACCTCTGGGTATGCTGCGCTCGCTGCTCAGCGATAGCGTCCCGAGCTCGTTTCTCAGCGATAGCGTCCCGAACTCGTTTCTCATCGATAGCATCCCGAGCTCGCTGCTCATCGATAGCATCCCTAGCTCGCTGCTCGCAATAGCGTCCCTAGCTCGTTGCTCAGCAATAGCGTCCCTAGCTCGCTGCTCAGCAATAACGTCCCTAG